AAAATCAATTTAGTTTTAGGATGGGGGACATAATGATGTCTTTCAATGAGATACAATAATTTTAATGCACAAAAAATACAAAATTAGCGAGCGGCTCGAATGATCATTCAAACGGGGCATTATAAAATTGATAGTGGATTAAAAAAATAAGCAAACAAGATGGCAGCTTATGTTTCATCAATAACTCGTTTTATCAATTTCTTTATCAAAGTTCATAGGTTATCACCGTTCAAAGGGGTAGAACCGCCATATTTTATAAAAAAAGGTCTGTTGCGTTACTACACAAGTTGCCGCTTATCAATATACTTATTGATAAGCGACAACAGGGTAGGTGTGGTTAGTAATGGCTTTGGACATGTTAGAAAGGGGGCGTTCATTAATTATGTGAGGTAAATTTAGAGATTTTGTGACTCCCTCTCCCCCGGTGAGATTTCGTGAGATTTAGCTCAAGCCCCACCGCAACCTCTTAAATGCATTGGATTTATTCAAAGACAATAAAATATAATTTGCTTCATATTTTTCTTTAAGACTTATCTAGATTGTTAATATCAAAATTTCTGAGAAAGTGGACTAGCTTTGTCTTTGAATTTGAAAGTAAAGTGAAAAGTAAACAATAAAATACTTAAATCATTACTACTAAGCTTCATAAAAGAATATTCATTCTATTTCAGTCCAGGGAGATGTGACTATTGGAGCCAACATATCCACATGGTTTTCAGTAAAACCATCTGCTCCTTTAATGCTGGTGTAGCCAAGGCTTATCTCTCGATCGCTTCCCTGCGGAGCTGTTCGATCTCATGCTGAACATGCTGTAACAAGTCCTCTTTTGTCATATCGTCTTGGCAATATTTTAAGATTAATACTCTGTTTCTTTTTCAATTTGAACCAATGCTCGGTGGCACAAAGAAATGTGATCTTTCAACTACGGAACTACTTATTTTGTTATCTGATGTAATTGTTTTCAGTCTTTACACTATTAAACACTAAACTTCAGTTATCGCAGAATTGTCCGGGAGCTCGCTTTTAATTCCATATACTCGAGCAACCTCAGTTCGATCCCCGAAACATCGTGAGGAAACCTGCATATTTTCGATATTAATAAAATATTTCGAAATAAATATTTCGAAGATATGTGAAGTCCACCAATCGGCAGGGGCCGCGAGATGGACTATGCCTTGATACCCTCTCTGTACAGAGGAGGCCTTTGTCCAGCTGTAGGACATTAGGCTATTACTACTAATTATATATGTACTAAAAATACAAAAATTTTATATATTACTCGAATAATCTCACTGTGTTTGGGTATATTGATTATTTTGCTTTTGCTGAGAGTTACACCTGTTAATTACACTATGTAAGACACCCTAAGACGAGACTCTAAAGGCTCATAAGCAAAATTGAAATATACGATATCAGTATCTACAAGGTCAATACAATAAGTTACTTGATAAGGTATCTATCGTGCTAATATGAGAGCTCTTAGAAATAAACGTTAATTGAGGGTAAAAACAATTCAACGTTGTTATTTTCAAAACATTGATACCAATTACGATTTTGGCTGGATGACTCCGTGGCGCAGTTGCCAAGTTATTGGCTACGGCGTCGGGGGTCGTGGGTTCGATTCCCACACGGGACAACTATTTGTGTGACCCACAGATAGTTGTTTCGCATCTGGGTGTTTGTCCGCGTGAAATTTATGTTTGTAAAACGTCCTTTACAACACAGGATAATATTATCCTAAAGTAAGGACAGTGTTTTTTAAAAACGAAGAAACGAAGAATTACCATTGAAACAGAGGTTCATTTTAGTGTTATTTTGCTCGTTGAAAGATAACTTTTAAGTGGGCTTCACGAATGAGGTTTACATTAAAACGAAAGGTAAATTTGCTATGTTACGGTATTGTTATTTGCTATACACCGTGTCGTTACAATCGCGATAATAAATTAACCCACACTAACGCTACTTGAACTAATAATCATAAAAAATATAAAACGTTTAAAAATCCATACTTAAAAAAAAAACATATTTTTCAAACAAACTAATGAAATAATAAAGAAAAAAAATTGTAACATCCTATACAACTGACTGATTCATACATTCAGACACTTTTTAAACGGTTTTATTTAGCTCGACCCGTACGGAATTTGTTTGTTTATTTATTTGGGTCAAAATTAGAAATTGAAATTTAAGCACCTTGCCGTTGTCAGATTGATCTGAAATTTGGTACACACATTTAATTTAGATGACAATACAATATTAACAAAAAAAAAATTTAACAAAAAAACATAAAATAAAACCGTTTAACTTAAAAGTTTTTTAAAGTAATTATTCATTCGTTGCCGCAGCGTCGCACTACAAATCTCTCCTTCTAACAGTTTGTTTTATCTCTTTCAAATTCATTCAACCCAATCATATGTTTTGTGACCTTTACAAATGAATTTATATTACGGTTTTACACGTAAGGGTGTTCTAAAACGTTAATTTTGGAAAATTTTATAACTCTGTAAATATTGATCTTTAAAGAATGTAAATGTTTAATACAATTTTATAAAGTTATCCTCTATATGTTTTCCATTTATTGACGCGGTTGTAACGACACTCTGTATAACGCGAAAATCAAATAATAAATTACTTTTCGTCAATATGTATTGTCAATTTAAGAAAAATAGTTCTTCATCAATGTAAAGGACACCGTTTGCTGTTATTGCTAACCTGCTCACATGTATACAGCACAAATAAACCACCCGACATATACATTGCTTATATGCTAGGAAAAACTCAAAAAGAAATGCATTTAATCAAAGCATGTATTGTCAATTTAAGAAAAATAGTTCTTCATCAATGTAAAGGACGCCGTTTGTTGTTATTGCTAACCTGCTCACATGTATACAGCACAAATAAACCACAAGACATATACATTGCTTATATGCTAGGAAAAACTCAAAAAGAAATGCATTTAATCGAAGCATGTATTGTCAATTTAAGAAAAATAGTTCTTCATCAATGTAAAGGACACCGTTTGTTGTTATTGCTAACCTGCTCACATGTATACAGCACAAATAAACCACACGACATATACATTGCTTATATGCTAGGAAAAACTCAAAAAGAAATGCATTTAATCAAAGCATGTATTGTCAATTTAAGAAAAATAGTTCTTCGTCAATGTAAAGGACGCTGTTTGTTCTTATTGCTAACCTGCTCACATGTATACAGCACAAATAAACCACAAGACATATACATTGCTTATATGCTAGGAAAAGCTCAAAAAGAAATGCATTTAATCAAAGCATGTATTGTCAATTTAAGAAAAATAGTTCATCAATGTAAAGGACGCTGTTTGTTGTTATTGCTAACCTGCTCACATGTATACAGCACAAATAAACCACACGACATATACATTGCTTATATGCTAGGAAAAACTCAAAAAGAAATGCATTTAATCAAAGCATGTATTGTCAATTTAAGAAAAATAGTTCTTCATCAATGTAAAGGACGCTGTTTGTTGTTAGTGTTGCCCAAATGTATGCCGCACAAATACACACCACATACAGACTGCTTGTGTTCTAGTCACACCTCAAAAAAGGAAATTAAATTTTTTCAGTATGAATTGTCAATTTAAGAAAAATCTTCATCAATGGGACGCCAAGTGTTGCCCGCATGCCTACATATACAACTGCAAACATAAACCACACCACATACAAACTACTTGTGTGCTAGTCAAAACTCAAAAAACTAACTGGTATTTCTTTAAATAGCCATTAGGTATATGAATTACGAATCCAGTGTGGTATTTAGAAAGAACCTGTTCTACACGACAATATGAATTAGATTAATTGAATGACACCCAAAAATAGTTACTATTAAGCAATATGCGTGAGTGCATTATCAAATCCAATATCCTTAACAAAAATACGTTCATTCGAGGAAGCCTTAATCCCTTTTTTCTGTTTTAGGTATAAACTGGCTATAGTATCAGAGTACGATTAGAAAAATCTACGGACAACTTTCTATAGTCACCACACTAGTTGATGACATCAAAGCTTTTATCATTGTTTCCATGTAAAAAACGAAGATAGGTTACTTTTTTCTTTAAAATAAAAACAGAAACAATTATTTTCAGTACAACTTGTTAACTCAACACAGGTTGTGTTGAGGAAAGGCATTTGAAAGAAAACGTTATGAACATGGAATTCGAAACCATTTTAGGTATAGATCGAGCATAATGAGCATTAAAACAACATACTATTAAGTTGTTTTATTGCTCATTAGTCCGTCTGAGTGCTAATTATTATTGAGCCCAAACTCTAAACAGTCTTTTACAAAAACTTTGTTTTAATGAAAGTAATTTTGTTATCATCCAAATCAATGTCCGTAAAAAATTAAATCATGGCCATTTTAGCTAAGTCAGGGCCGATAAAATATATTAGATCAATCCATCTTATCTATCTAATATCTAATTAGATAATAATTGTTTAACTGTAGCAATAAATCTTGTTCTCATTGATTGATCTAAAAGCCAGCAGAAAATTATGTAGATACAAAATTTTCAACAGGTAATGTATGGTAAATAAAGATGTTCAGGTTATTTAAACAATTACAGGCGGTAATAATAGACAGTGTGAAAGGAAACGCGTTACGGCGATGCCGCGTTTTCATTTCCGATTTAAAAAAAAAAAATTATATTATTAATTAACAATGATACAAAATATTTTATTTATTATTGATGCTTTAATTAAAAATAAATTATTAATACTATTTTAATTAGTTATGTATATTTTTTTAAGATTTTTTTTCAACAATGAGTGCGTGTGGCACTCATTTTTTATTTAATTTTTACTTGATGTAACTTATGAATGTATATATAAAAATGTCACAGTTTTTTTTCTAAAAATTATGCGAGAGTTTTATCTGTACATTTTAAAATTTGGTCGTGACTTAATATATATTATGTTCCTAGATCAGTTACAGTGGGTGAGGTGAGCCTCGTGTTTCTAGTTATGGAGTCGAAACGCAAGTCGACGATACAAATCGAAGCGGTAAAGACGTCTCAAAATTATTTAAATTAATGAAAATCGATCAGAAAACAATAATCATTGTTATTTTCTTATTCCTGTAATCGTATAATACAACGCAGAATAATAGAAATATTTTTTTCACGTTTTCTTCCTTTACATTATTTTGAAATCATTGTTTAAACTATACTTTTTTAATAGTAGCCTAAGTAAAATTGGACAAAAACATTGCCACAAAACAAAGTACTGTTAGCATAAAAATCTTATGATAATTCCAGCTACATTTTGCCGAGCCCAAGACTTACAATGTCGTCAATTATGCATGCAGTATATTAAGAAACAGAGGACCCTAAATTACTTGGACATAAATTATCCCATAGAATTAGGGAAACATCGCATTGTGATGGGATTCTTGGAATCTGATTCCCTATATTAATTCAGTTCAGTCAAGCACGTCGGCCTCAGAAACCATACGGACGCCGTCACTGCAAACGTGGTTGTATTCTCTTTATTGTCTTTGACGGCAAACAGCAACTTCCAGGAGCCTCAACAAGTACTGAGTGAGTTTTATTTCTTCGTATTATTAAAATAATAGCAATTAACACTTAAGTTTAAATTTTGTAAACTAGCTTTTCGTCCGCGTTGTAGCCCTTAAATACATATCTTTCAACACTTTCTAATTAAAAAAATAGCCTATGTCCTTTCTCAGGCTCTAGACTATCCGTGTTTAAAATTTCATTTAAACCGGTTCAGTAATTATAAATAAATAAATAAATATTTAGGACACATTTGTACACAACATTTTCTAGTCCCAAACTAAGCAAAGCTTGTACTATGGGTACTAGACTACTGATAAACATACTTAAACATACTTTTCTTTTGTAAATACATACATATTATACATACACACCCAGACACCAGAAAAACACAATGTTCATCACACAATATTTTTCCAGTAGTGGGGATCGAACCCACACCCTCTGGCGCAGGTGGCAGGTACACTACCCATTACGCTATTCGTGGGTCGGGTTTTGGCGTGATAGCGAGACAGACAGACAGAGTTACTTTCGCATTTATAATATTAGTATGGACAGTTAATGCCAATAGCAGCTAAGATATGTTTGTAGTTCAAAATAGGACACAAGTATTACTTGTTGAGTTTGGCGAAAGCGATTCCACATATTTTGTGGGTACAAATATGTTGTTAACGCAGCCGAAGTGAAGCCGCGAAAACGTCCCAATCGGGATGGCTTGTCATCACGGTCAAATGGCGTTAAAAATTTCAAAAAAAAATTTCTCTAATACCCATTTTCACCATCTGTCCATCCATCCGAAGACATCTAAAAATATTTAAGTGCTAGTTCCCTTTTCACCATCACTTAGCGTGGCACTTAACAACAACATCATGTCTAGCATAAAATGTCATTGACTGGTGTGAAAATAAAATATATAAAAAATCCTCATTCTTGTCTCGACAAATAAAAAAACGCGAGCTTCACCAAACGCGCTTAGCAACACTGTGTGGTCTTGAGGCGCGGTGGGAGGGGTGGGCAAATGAATAAAAGATATCGACATTAATTAATTATCGTGTCGAAATTTTTAAACAGTAGTACTTTTCGCACGATTAATCGTACATAATTATTATCGAAGATGAAAAAAAAATGTTTTATATACGTTTCGAATTTCAAACAGACCAACGTAAAAAACGTACTGCAACGTATCACTTATCTACATAATAACGTTACATAAATACGTTTTTTACTTATCTACATAATTTATTTTGTATACAGCGTGCTGTTACCACCGCGACAATAAATGAACACACATATAGAGGATAACTTTTTAAAATTGTATAAAACATTTACATTCTTTAAAAATCAATATTAAAATTTACTGAGTTATTAAATTTTCTAAAAAAAAAACAATTTTAGAACATCCTTACGTATAAAACTGTAACGTAAAGTTCATTTGTAAAGGTCACAAAGCATATAAATGGATTGAATGAATTTAAAAGAGACAAAACATACGGTTAGAAGGAGAGACTTGTAATGCGACGTTGTTGCAACGTATGAAAAAGTCTCTGAAATTATGAATCAGTCAGTTGTAGGTCAGTTGTAGTCAGTTGTTGTATAGGATGTTACAAATTTTGTTTCTTTTTTACTTAATTAGTTGGTTTGAAAAATATTTTTTTTTAATTATAGATTTTGTTTAACGTTAATATTTTTTTATGATTATTGGCAAGTAGCGTTAGACGTGTGTTCATTTATTGTCGCGATGGTAACGACACGCTGTATATGTAGATACGCGCCCGAAGCCGAGTTAATTTTTACGAAAATCTCAAGATATTTCATCTACTTCGTACGGTTTGGAAAAAAATATGAGAGTAACATTTTTAAGATGCAAGCGCTCGTGGCAGTCTATGGGGGAGGCCTATGTTCAGCAGTGGACTCAAACAGGCTGAAATGATGATGATGATGATGAAGCGCTCACTGAAGGTCAAAAAGGGACACGATGAAGTTGGTTGCAAAGCGACCAATAACAAATGGCAACCAATAACAAATTTTTGACATTTAGCTATAATTCGAAGTTATTTAATTAAACTGCCATCAATTGCATTTAATGTCTTTTTCACAAAGATTACTGGCGCAGGGAATAAGGTTTTCAGTTATTTTTCTTTTGTTACACTTAAGAAGTATAACTTCTTAAGTGCGTAAATACATACTTAATCTATGTTATTAAATTAATATCCTTAAAAAAATTAAATCAAAGTTGGACCAATATTATATTCAAATTTGTCTGTCTAAAGTGAGTGTCGCACAACGGCATATCGCGATTACAACACATGTCGCATAACAACATGTTAAAATAGCAATTTTTTGGATATATCGATATTTTTACCCATCCCAAAGTGACTATCGCGTCTCGCGTGCGCCTTCGGTGTGGGAGTTGCTCATCGAGTTTCATTCGCGTGACGTGATTTTTTTCAACATCTTCAGCATTCGTCATCATGTTATAGTCAATTTAAATAGAACAATCATGAATTACATACCTACTTCCCTCATGTATTACAGCATCTGTTGGCGAAAAGCCGTAAGAAAATCTATTCAGTATTTTTTTTTGAAGAGATTGGCTCTTCAAAAAACAACTTTTACAATTCGTTAACAAAAATTTACAGACATCATTTTACTTAGTTTTTCATTGATCTACTTTTTCGAAAGGTAAGGTAAAATTAGAGTGTTTTGACTTTTGTTTTTCCGAACGAACGATTTAAAATTCTTCCCTTTATGCTTTGTGTCCCCAACCCATTGTCCTGTTATGGAAGGTACAAACAGAAAAGAGGGAGAGTGATCCTACCACAGTGAAACTATTAGTGTAGGTATGTCTGTATTATACTCACGCAATTTGCTAAAGTCATTAAAGAATATAATTCCATAGACTAAAAATCCATAAGAGAAAACACGACGAGAAAAGATTTCCATAATACAATCATTCCTCGTGGTTATGACTAAACACAACTTTAAATATCAATGAATACGTCTATTTAACAGATTACCAATTGATTTAAGCAATAAGCTATACTAGAGAAGCTTTAAAAATACTTAAAAAGTTCCTACTTGAAAAATGTTATTATAGTCCCAACGACAAGACGATAATACAATTAAATAACCTTCAATGTGTTAAAAAAATTTCCTGACATTTTAAAATTATAACCATTGCTTTTTTCGACAAACCATTACTATTTTTATTACTTTTTTTGACATTTTATACTTTATTTTATTTACAATAATGAGACATTATTTCTATTGTAATTTTATATAATCGTAATTTTGACTGCGAACCAATTTAATTGTAATTTTTTGCACAAATTGTGTTGTTATGAATAAAGGAATATATTAAAAAAAGGCTTCAATAGTATTCGCGCTGAAAACAAGAACATGAGTCATATAAAGATAAAGATTAATAAATGAATCAAAAGAAATTGTAGCGCATAAAATGTATGATCGGTGATTATAGTCATTTTGTTATACGTTGCAGGTTCGACATGCCGATAATAGTGTTCAAATATTTCCGCGTGAAGGCGTTAGGCGAGGGGGGGCGTATGTTGCTCGCGTACGGCGGTCAAGAGTTCGTCGACCACAGAGTCTCAGACCAAGAGTGGCCTACTTTAAAACCAAGTGAGATTCATACATCGTAGCAGTATTCATTTTACCAACAGGCTGTTTTGAGCGGGATAAGAAGAAATAAAATCCCTTTATTTGACATCATTTAAATAAAATTCAAGTATACAGCGTGTCGTTACAACCGACAAAACCACAGACAAAATGCGACCAAAACTTAACAGACAAAATGCAAAAGATAATTGTAAAATTTCTTATTAAATATTTACGACATTAAATCTATCTAAAATTACATATTATTTAATAAATCTACCATCCATCCACGCGGCATGGTGCCAGGAACGCTAGCTGCGTTTCCTCACTGAATAGTTATGCTTAACCTTTGAGCGAGAAAAGAACCAGCTCTCTTGTCACCAGCCGCTGCGTAAATAAAAGTAAAGTAAAGTAACAGCGACATGTCCCACAGCTGGTCAAAGGCCTCCTCTATACAAAGGGTATCAGGGCATAGTCCACCACGCGGCCCCACTGCGGGTTGGCGGACTTCACATATCTTCGAAATATATATTTTTTTGTTATTATTTCAAAAATATGCAGGTTTCCTCACGATGTTTTCCTTCACCGCGGAGCACGTGATAAGTCAGCACTTAAAGTTAAAAACTTCATTGGTGCCGGCACCGGGGATCGAACTCAGGTTGGTCGAGTATATTGAATTAAAGGCGAGCGCCCGGACACTGAGCTATCACGGCGTAAATAATGCAAAAGTAAAATTACTTTATCGTATCTTTGTGTTGATCTCGAGGAAACCAGGCAACAATAGATGCCGGTATGTGGCTCAACAACAGACGGGTGATTGAATTCGCAAAGCGTATTAGCTTTTTTTACTTGTTGTTGTTGATGATACTGTATTAGGGCCACGCAACAGTCTTCGTTGTTGCATGAATGGGCAGATCACGACGAGGACGAATTTATCATAAACTTTTTGTGCGTCTCTTTGTTTAACTTTATTTAAATGTTGCCATCAACAAATTACTTATAGCGACACCGTTTGGTCAGCTGCCCGTGTTGGAGGTCGACGGCAAGCAATACGCTCAGAGCATGGCGATTTACCGCTACTTGGGCAGAAGGTTCGGTCTCGCCGGCGATGACGTGGAAGAGGAGTACCTAATCGACCAGGCGGTGGAGTTCTACAATGAACTACGCTTAAGTGTGTGTTTTATAAAGCATTGAATAGTGGTGGGGCCACGCAACAGTCTCCGCTGTTGCACGAATGGGCAGGTCCGTCCGGGTAAGTGCCACGACCTCACAGAAGACCGGCGTGAAGTGGAAGTGTTATACTTCTGCGCGTAGACCATCATACTGTTACTGTTTTTATATACCAATATACCGCTTCTGCGTTTCGTCCGGTGAGTGAGGTAGGTGGTAACGCATTTATAACCATACGGGTGCTACATTGCCAATGGGCGGCGGTGTTCACTTAACATCAGCTCGCTTGCCATCTTGTCACATAAAGAAAAGAACCGCTTTTTCATTTGTCCAAATTAGCAACCATTTTTTTTTTCAGACCTAGCCACTAAATGCTATTGATGTCCTCACTGCGTGATGTCAAAGACTTAAATGATTTCTTTTTACGCATTTTTCGCAATACTTGACGCCATATAAATGTGTTTCCTTTATAGAAATCACACTTTCTCAAATTACAGTAGTTAAAAACCAGAGATATTGCTTTTGCTATCGTATTTTTAGTGCTGGTTTAGACTTTGCTATAGGTAGCTTTGGCTATAGATGTAGAGCAAAGTATTTTAAATAGGCATAGTTTTTTTTAAATAGATCTACAAGTCCAAATATTTTATAAAATCTATTATAGTCCCTGAGTTCTTTTTGTACTTTATTTATTTCTGCTTTGTTCAAATAGTAAATGAAATATTTTTTCATTTTTGGTGGCTGCGTAAGCATTTAAGAAAATCATTTTCCTATACAGAAATGTGTCGTAATTAGACTGTTTCATTTCTGCGTAAGCTTAAATCATTTATACAGCGTGTCGTTACAACGGCGACAATAAATGAACACACATATAGAGGATAACTTTTTAAAATTGTATTAAGCATTTACTTTCTTTAAACATCAATATTTACCAAGTTATTAAATTGTACAAAACAAACATTTTTAGAACACCCTTACGTATAAAACTGTTACGTAAAGTTCATTCGTAAAGGTCACAAAGCATATGAATGGGTTGAATGAATTTAAAAGAGACAAAACATACTGCTAGAAGCAGATGCTTGTAATACGACGCTGTGGCGCGAGTTGTATAGGATGTTAAAAATTTTGTTTCTTTTTTACTTAATTAGTTTGTTAGAAAAATATTTATTTTTAATAATGGATTTTTTTAACGTTTTATATTTTTTATGCTTATTGGCAAGTAGCGTTAGACGTGTATTCATTTATTGTCGCGGTTGTAACTACACGCTGTATACAAGATCAACGTAATAGGCATTTCAGCTACATCCCTCACATATTATTACGTGAAGCAAAAACTTTGTACCGCTTTTTATGAAAATTACGCTACGCGGACGGAGGAGTATGAAATGTCCCACACATATAGTTTATATGGAGGAGTGCGGAATGCTAATATTTTTTTAATTATAATTTTTTAGTTATATTAAATGCGTCTCTTTTCATAATTTACTTCATAACTGTGCAATACGTAACTGCACTTAAAAGATCTTTTCTCATACTCCTAGCTGCATCTTTACACCGTTTTGTTTTGCTTACCCAGAGGCCTCAGCAGTATACCACGAGTCCGACAAGATTATCAAAGCCAAGATGCACGATGACCTGATGAAGAACTATTACCCATTCATGCTCAAGAAACTGGATGACGTAATGAGTGAGAACAACGGATATCTTGCCGCGGGAAAGGTACATACAGGGAGATTTTTTTTGAGAAGTGCCCAAATTTACACAGGAGGTTCAGACTCGGTAGTATAATCGTTTATTGAAATAAAAAACAAAGTTTTTTTTTTCCGAAAAAAATGCCATTCTATTCCCTATAAAACAGAACGTGTTGACAATGCGGCAGTCATTCATAAATACCTAAATTTTACTGTGCACGAACTTGTGTGCGGTTTAGTTATGAATGATCGCCCGTAAAATAAATGAGTTGCGTATAATTCACGCACTTTTTGAGATAAGTTCAAATTAATGTAATTAACTACTTACGAGTGATATTTATCATTTTTTATATAATATTATATCATATCATATTTATCATTTTTAATATAATATTATTTATGTCTAGAATTTAATCAAAAATGGATACACTTAGAAAAGCCACCCTGTATATTTTATTCGAGATATCATTACAATAACTGATAAAGCAGACAAATATTTAATGCTGCTATTGACCCCATTGGCGTCACTACCCCAACTGATAATGAGATAGACTAAGAGCTCTCTTGCGCTAGAAGGTGTAGGTTCGATATCTGGAAATGTCTGATTTATATATATCTATAATTTAAGAAAAAGGAAGAAAATTGAAAAAAAGAAATACATATTTAACAAAAGTTAAACGCCTATCATGTGCCTAGCGGTTAATGGGTCGCGTGGTAGACTTATATGCGCTTATACCCTCTATACAGGCGAGGCCGCTACAGAAGCCTACTATTACATTAATTTAATTTTTTTTTACAGAGAGAAAGTAGGTGTATTACGTTACCTACCTAGTTCCCATGGTAGCTTTTGGGACTAAAAGACTGTGTAAAAATATGTTCTGAAGTATTTATTTATTATTTTACATTAAAATACAAAGCATGTAAAGGTAAAGGATCTTCCATTAGGAATAATGAATATAATTCTGATCGATAGAAGAACAGCTGTATATAAAGTATCAGGCGCTGAATTACTTGTTTTTAATTTCATATTTATATTACAGAAAAAATAAGTACTACCTAGTGCTAACAAGAAATAGTGAGTACTTATCAGCCGATAATTTCGTTCACGTCTGTTGAGCCTAAAAGAATTAGTAATGAAATTCGACGTGACCCAAAAACGAAACCAATTTTGACATTCATTAATTTGGTTTATACAGTGGCTTTTCCAAAGGTGCCCAAATTCATACAAGACGTTCAGACTTAGTAGCATAATGGTTTATTGAAATAAAAACATACTTTTTTTTTCAAAAAATTGCCTTTCCATTCCTTAGATAAAAGAACTTGTTGACAATGCGGTAGTCATTCATAAATGCGTCATATATTTTTGAAACGAACTGGTGTGCTTGTTAGTTGCCCATAAATCACGCACTTTTTGAGATAAGTTCAAATGAATGTAATTAATTAATTACGAGTGATTTTGAATATTTATCATTTTTTATAGAATATTATTTACGTCTAGATTTTAATAAAATTAATGGATACACTAAGAAAATTCTCCCTGTATATACATTTATTTTGCCTGTGATAGGACCACGCAACACTCCTCGCTGTTGCACGAATGGGCAGGTCCGTCCGGGTAAGTGCCACGACCTCACAGAAGACCGGCGTGAAGTGGAAGTGTTATACTTCCCCGTTGCGTCCCGTGAGTGAGGTAGCCGGGGCTCACTTTATTAAAAAGTGGCAACGCATCTGACGCACTGCGGATGTTGCAAATGTTTATGGGTGGCGGTTATCACTTCACATTAGGTGAACCGCCATCTCATTTGCCACCATCTCACAAAAAAAGATACATCCGTTAAACAGGAAGAGGCGTCGAATGATGTCATCGTATTTCTTAACTTATAGTGACACGAAATTGTTATTAACAGGGATCAATATTAACGTTTCAGTTAACATGGGCCGATTTCCTATTCGCCGGTATGTATGACTGCCTGAAGATGGTGTTAAAATTGCCCGACCTGGACGTCAGATATCCGAGTTTCAAGAATCTTCATCGCAGGGTCTTGTCCCTACCTGGAGTCGACGAGTACTGCAAGAAAGCGCCTCATAGCGAATTTTAACAAAAATTATCTTTGATGCAAAGTTGAAAATTTGTTTAATTAAAATTCAGATACTTATTTGCTATGAATAGGGTTTTATTGAAAGACATTAAAGTCCGTCGAAAATTTGTTTAATTAAAATTCAGATACTTATTTGCTATGAATAGAGTTTTATTGAAAGACATTAAAGTCTGTCGCTTTAAACTATTTAGCTCTATAGAATAGCATGCAAATGTAAATTAAGCAATTGAATTAGGGTATTTATAGGACAGGCATCGATGAGTGTCAGAGTTGGAAATAAATTAAACTGTATGTAGGCTTTTTCAGAATAAAGTTATGATTATTTTTGCCATGTAGTCCCCAGTGTATAGCTGGAATCGCTGAGGGTTCGAGATTGGGGTGAAGCGCCGGTTATTTAAATCTTTACTTTAGTTTACTAACATGCGCGGCGGCCTTTTTGATATCGCACTCCCCTCACCTTCACTTTGCTGCCAAAGATGCGACGATTCTCTCGTTGAGCACCAATCCCCCAGTTACGTGTCTCCAGGGTTGACGTCCTCTCACTGTCGCAATCATCATCCGCGTACCGTTAGACCTTTTCTCACTTGCACTAGATACACTTTCACTTCACTTAGTACTCCCCTTTTCCTTTACTTCTTCCTCTTCCTTCCTCTTCGAGTTTCATTGTTTTTTTCTTTTAACAAGCTTCCTCTACAGACTCGTGATCCGTACTCTTAAACTCGGGCCCCATTTAAAGGCCGCATTGTGATCGTCTTTGCGTCTTAAATGTTCTAGGGGCGAGTTAAATTTCGATCGTCTCTTCCGATAGAGGTTTCCGGAATAAGAACCATCTTTTACTCTAAACTAATAATGGTAATGGGCCGGATATAGCTTGAAGGACCGATAACCGATGGGGAAGTAAGGTTCGCGAGTGGCAGTCTAGTGTTGGCCATCGTAGGATGACCAATCACTAGTTATTTATTTCTTTGTTTCTATTGTTTCTGCGTATTTTAAGTTAAACTGAGGACAAGATACCAATGGTGTATGCAATGCTTAAATGTTTTCATGAGCTTGTTCTGTTTGATGTTATCGTGGCTGATTAGTTGTAAAGAATGGACCAGTTCCGTTGGTAAGGAAACAAATAGTTTCGATATGGACCAAGCTAACAACCAAATCAAAAAAGTACACCTTCAATTGACTTCGTGGCATACTTTAACATAAATTTATATTTATATAATATAAGCTAAACAACAAGGCAGAAAAATACGGATACAATCAGAAAAGGCCCAAGAGAAGAAATACGAGGTGAAATTAGATTTAACAGGAAGAGTATCTCCATTTACAAATGTTACCTTAATAGTAATAATGATTATTAACTGCCATTGCTTTGCAATTTTAATTCCGTAATTCCATTGTATATTCTATCACTAAAAACATTGTGTATTTATTAAATAGTTTTAAATCAATTTATCTTTTCCGTTGACTTAGTGATAATAAAACGATTTTTGTTTTCAAATCCAATGTCTATTTCTCCTCATTGAAATCCCATTTTCTTGAATGAGAAATGAATAAAAAATAAAGAGGAATACCAAGCGACATGGCGCCCGGGGTCAATCCAAGACGCGCATTGTTTTCTCTTTGACCAATCACTAGTGACGACCTGTGCTAGTGTGCGGGAAGTCGATGGATGCAGGTGGCTCAGGATCGTACTTCGTGGCGGTCTGTGGGGGCTATGTTGAGCAGTGGACTCAAACGAGACTAGATTCTACGATTTATCTACACATTTCTAGTTTCACCTTAAGTGCCTAGACTAAAACATAAAAAATATAATGAAATTCAATAGCAAAAGCGAGATTCCTGCAATGAAAGCCAATTAAATGAATCGAAAATGATTAAAGTTTTTTAACTAAGTAGTTTTGTTACATTTTTAAGAGGTCATTTTTTAGAATTTCTCCTGAACACGTGTTTGTACTTCTGAATGCTACCATATTGTCTAATGATATTCGGGCTTCACACATATCGTTATACAACTACCATGATGTTACATAACATCGTTTTTATCGAAGCTTGGATTGTCTTCACCGTTCACGGATCTGTTATATATTTTTGGAGAATTTTTGACGCTAGTCTCCACTTGTTCTATTGTATCCATGAGCGGCATGTCTTTCGTCTCTGGCGTGTTGAGAAGGAGGAACCCGGAGATAGCAGCAAGACAGCCGAAGAGTATCGACGGAAGAATTATTGAGACTGTATTCTGAAATTACCGTTTACGACGTATATGGCTTGTTATAGTACTAGCATATTGTTTAGTTTCTCACTCATAAGTACAGGCGCTTTTTAAGTAGGTGGCCAATACTTAAGTCGATTGCGTGTCGGCAATCACCGTCTTTCAGCGACATCTATTGTCGATCAGGTCGAAAGTACCAGCAAACGGATAATCTTGCAAGATCAAGGGTAACGTAGTGTCTTTTTGTCTAGAAAACGTATTACAGCCGGTGTTCCAGCAAGTGTTTCAAATTATAGGAATTCGCTTACAACCCATATATTTATAATACGAGTATGATGTCCACTGTGATCGACAGAACTGTGGTAGGTTCACGCAACAGCGTTTGCTGTTGCACGAGTTGGCAGGTCCATCCGGGGAAGTACCACGACCTCACAAGAGACCGGCGCGAAGTTAAGGTGTTATCCTTCTGCGTTTCGTCTGCTGCACTCACCAGGTTACCGAAGCCCGCTTTATTGAAAGATGGCAACGCATTTGTGACTACGGGCCTTGTAAATGCCCATGGGCGGCGGTTATTACTTAAAATCGGGTGAACCGCCAGTTCGCTTGCCGCCATCTCATATAAATAAGTAAGTTCCTTAGGACAGTGGTTCAACGCTGCTCTATCCATAAAAGTAGCTGTAAATATAGCCACAGAAGCATTTACTGTGTGATTGGTAACATCCACTAGATTTTGCACCGTAACAATACCATTGTTGCCAAATACCACTATTTTTATTTAATAAAAAAAGAAAACGAGCAAAGAAACGACCCTGCCTCTGGCGCCGGAGGGTCTGAGTTCGAATCCCCACTACTGGAAAAATATTGTGTGATGAACATAGTGTTTTTCCAGTGTCTGGGTTTTTATATATTTATAATATGTATTTATTTACAAAAACTGAAGTATGTTTATCAGTACCCATAGTACACAGTACAAGCGTTGCTTAGTTTGGGACTACAAAAAGTTGTGTAAAAATGTGTCCTGAAATATTTATAATACGCTCACCACTTTTAAATCGCATCGCTTTTAAATCTAATCGAATGTATATAGAATCAAAAATATGCTTTGATATCAGCTATTAGGCGGTATATCACTATATAGTATAAAAAAAAGTCGTCCCGCTGTCTGTCTGTCCCTATGTATGCTTAGATCTTTAAAACTACGCAACGGATCTTGATGCGATTTTTTTACTAGATAGAGTGATTCAAGAGGAAGGTTCATATGTATAATACCCTGGCAGTATTTCGGAGATGAAATTAAATGCTCATACCAACCAGTATTGGGGTTAGGGGCGCCAACACGTTCCCAACGCTGGACGTGAGCGCGCATATACCAATCAGTGTGCCCCTGACGTTCGTAGGGAAGAGTTCCATAGTGTACATGACTACACCCGTGAAGCAACCAGACACCAGCAGTTTACCGATCAGGAAGAACGTAGTTTTTAACCACGTGTAATCTATAAAGAAGAGATGTGTCAAACTTTAAAAAAAATATTTGCATCTAATGTTTACATTATCTTGCACCTCACGCACAGAAATTCACTGTAAATAAGGGACAAAAGGGACTAATTTCTATCTCTTGGCGATGTAGGGTAGATTGTGAATTTACCTATTCTTTTTTAATGTGAAAAGTTGCGAAACGAGCAGACGGGTCACCTGATGTTAAGTGAATACCGCCGCCCATGGACATTTACTACACCCGAGGGTTACAGATGCGTTGACAACCTTTTGAAAATTGGGCTCCGGCTACCTCATTCACCACACGAAACGCGAAAGTATTTGTCATACTTCCACTTTACGCTGGTCTTCTGTGAGGTCGTGGTACTTACCCGGACGGGCCTGCCCATTCGTGCAACAGCCGAGGCCGCTGCGTAGCCCTACCACCGTAATACGACGATACTTGTTCACCGATAATAAATATAGACAACATTTATACTGCATTATAGTAGGTTAAGAAATTACCAGGTTAAACAGTTAAATGGTAAAAAGTGGCATACCTTCAGGGAAACATACCGATGTAACACAGAGCAGCCCACATGCGATGTACCCGCAAACCAGCGGAAGCTTCCTGCCAAACCTATTCATCAGATACAGTGCCAATAGCTCTCCGGGATACGACATTAACGATGCCAACATGAAATTCGTATATCTATTCCCCGGCAAGAACACGGAGTTCACCATCAGGCCGTAGTAGACAAAGCTCGCCGAAAATCTGCAGAAAGCGCCTATGAACAAACGCTTCATAATCTCTTTCGATTTGAAAGCGTCAGCGGATGTCTCTTTCTGTTGATAGTTCACTATTTTGAACTCCTTTTTAAGACCCTCGTCCGTCATATTGGCCAGTTTTTGTTTGTCTATATTTCTTTTGTTGACTTTCGCTATGTGCAGCAGTGCCTTTTTAGCATCTTCTGTTTTTCCGTTCAGTATTTGCCAGCGCGGGCTCTCCTTCAGTAGGAACATGTAAGAGAGGAACAGGAGAGAAGGGCCGTAATGATTCTTACGAGGTTTTTCCAGTAGGGTACGAACATAGCAATCCCGGCCAATACCGATTCGCCCATGTAGATGGCATAAGCGAAAAGTAAACCAGACAGCAGTCTCTTCTCCTTTCCGCAAATTTCTACCACTGAAATACAAGTGAAATACTATCACTAAATACGATCCTGAGCCAACTGTATCCACCGACTTGTAAATTATTGGCAAAATAATAAAATATTCATTATTTGAACCTTATCTGGACATTTCTAAATATGAGGTTTCTATTTTGTGAATCTATATTATTATATATTCCAAAAGATGATCGTTAAAATCAATAAAACTTAATAGGTATCATTTTATCTGTTGCAAGGAAACTCTGGTTACATGCCGCGATGGCAGACATTTTACTGTGGTAGGGCCACTACTGTTGCACGAACCTCGCTCATCCGGGAAAGTATCACGACCTCACAGAAGACCGTCGTGAATTGTAAGCATTATACTAGATTTTTTTGTGGTTTCAGTTGTAACTTTGTTAAACGGTTGTGACGCATCTACAACCTCACAGGTGTTGCAGATGTCACATCAATTGAACCGCCTGCTCGCTCGACAACTTGTCAAATATAAAAAGACTGTAAAAGTGATTTATGACAATTTAATAGAAAAAATTAATTCCTATTTTTTTTTTGTTTTTTTTTTTTCATATCTTTGTGTTTTGGAGCTATGCTATCAAATGTGGAGCTATCAAAAAATATATATTTTTGGGTAGTTTTTAATTGTTTTCTACCCCCCTGGAATTCAAAAGTGCAGGTTTGCCAACTAGATGATAATTTTACTCATTTTTTTGGGATTCATTGAATATTGTCGTAAAGTTTGTCTTTGTATTATTCGTCGTGAAAGCTTGTCTTTAGGAATATCTCAACTTACTTAAAACCATTACTGCTGTATATGTTCCTCCTGTTATGACAGCTTCCAAGACTTCTATGAATATATATACATTATATGACGATACGAATGCCTTTAGGTGTCCCAGGCAGCTCCCCACGGAGCAGAATATTAAAGTAGGCTTGCGACCAAATCTGGAAATATATTGTAGCTCATTTCATTCGGATTCGCTGTTGCACAAATGGGCAGTTCCGTTGGAGTAAGTACCACGATCTCATTGAAGATGAACACCGGCGTGAAGTGGAAGAGTCATGCGAGGAGTATTCTTCTGCATTTCGTCTGGTGAGAAAGGTAGCCGGAGCCTACTTTATAATGAGGTTGCAACGCATATGCAACTCTACGGGTATTACACAATTGAATGGGTGGCGGTTATCCCTATCAGGTGAACCGCCAGCTGGTTTGCCACCTTCTCATGTAAAAAAAAAAGTTTGCGGTTTTGTTACGTTTCTTTTTGTGTTTTCAATAAGTACACATTTTTGGATACCTTGTCATAAAAAAGGATATTTAATTTTACATAATATTTAGAATTGCGAAAAACTGAAAACCCACGCAATGAGAGTTTCGTATCAGAGATAAAAGAACGTGTTTATGCAATACTTTTTATCGTAACAAAAGAAAAAATGTGGATGCACTTAAGAAGTTATACTTCTTTAGATAAATTTTATCCCCTGTTCCAATACTCTTTGTTAGTAGCGTCACAAATTACGGGATTCTTCGAACGGACGGATTTTTCTCATTCGCAATAAGCTAAAACTCACGGTCTATAAGTCACATCAAAATGACCACTTACTGTAGTCTTAAGCCTCTGTTAGTGTTGCTAGGTAAACTTTGAAATGTTCTTTATTTTAGAAAGATCTTCAACTTTACAAAGCTTCATGAAACTTGGAATCTGACCTATTACCTGTCAGTCATCCATCCGGAAGCCACAGTTCCCAACAGCATGCCGATGCTGTGGACGGTGCCAACCATGTTGGACTTCCAAGGTTGACAGGCCAGATTCAGCTATAAAAGTTGTAACTATTAAGCAATGATATTTAACTACTATAGCTATGTTATACATTTACAAAATCACAAGTTTTGTTCATTATAAGAAAGAAGAAAGAAAATCTCTTTATTTGACATCACTTAATACATTATACATATTTAGAAATATTTTGTCCAAGATTTTTTAGGCAACCCAGTTTTAATATATTTTCTAATATACTAAAATTATTATAAAATACATTTTATTCTAATATCAGCTCGGTGAAGGTCGATTTAGATTCGGATCATAGACCATTAGAGATTCGCTTAAATACGATGTATAAGCAAAATAAATTTATTCACATTGAGTTAACTGGCAGGAGATACGACAGAATATTTGTCAGTAGACATAGTTATGGAGACACAACAGAGCACTTCATATGCCGTAGTTTTTAAATTCACTTGATCTGTCTGGTGTACATGAGCTCCATTTAAAATAAGGAATCGAATTCGATTCATCATGTTCATTATGTACTACATGATATATGACGCCTTGTATTTCGCTAACTTTAGAGTCGAACTTGGTAGAATTTACAAAGACGCACGACGGCATTTTTATTATTGTAAAATTTATGACACGGGTCTTTTTCGCCGCCCTGCCTAACGCGGCGAAGACGAAAATGCGAACATCTTTGAAAACATGTAATTGTGACATGATATGGTTTTTGTGATCAGCACTCGACACGTTTCTCTTCTATGCTTACGCGATAGATAAAATCACTTATGACGAGGTACTTATGCAAAATATTTTGGGATTTTAATTGGGACTTATACTTTTCATTTTATACCACAATCCTAACTTGAAGTTAGAAACTATATGAAACTATTTACCTCCGCTATCAAAGTGTCATTAGTTTCGTATATCCATTCCGTGCATTCTTCTAACGTGCCAGCAAAGCTTTGTTTGGTGCAGGCCTGGCCGATATATTCCTTGAAGATTGGTCTCGTGCATCTGTCCGTCGCATTGGCAGGCCACCAAGTTTGGTTGTAAGCCGCAAAATCTCCATCACATTCAGGTATGCGGCAACTGTGTGTAAATATACAAAAATATTATGTCAATATTTCATTTAAAATTTTATTTTTATTAATCATCGTTTAAAAATTCCCTCGTACATGCAATTATTATAAACTGCTATAGTAAAGACAATTGCGTGTTGCAAGCTTCTAGGCCTGAAACCGACCACATTGTTTACTCGATGATTTTGATGTTTGTATATTTATGAAGCTGTGCATCTTTTACCACAAACGTATCTACGACTAAGAGCGCTCCTCTTAGTCTACGAAACAGTGTTCGCTGTTGCAAGAATGGGCAGTTTCGTCTGGGTAAGTAGCACGACCTCACAGAAGACGTGTTGTAAGTAGAAGTGTTACACTTCTGCGTTTCGTCTAGTGAGTGAGATAGCCAAGCTCACTTTATGAAAATGTGCAATGCATTTGCAAACCTGCGGGTGTTGCAAATGTCCACGGGCGGCGGTTATCACTTAACAGCAGGCGAACAGCCTGCTCGTTTATTACTTAAAAAAATTATGTTCTTGAAAAAAAAAAACAAGGGTGGTGTAGGACTACTGTCTATCTCTATCTCTATCTGTGTATATATTACTGGATAAGATAAACTTACCGGTAGTTAAGCTCCCCGGCTACGAACACATAGTTTATGTGGGTGATTGTAACAAAAATCGTCGAAATACACGTGTACAGGTACTGAACAATCTGGTACTTTCCAAATCTCTCCATGATTTCGCCGATTTCTACTTCACCATTTCTGTTGCTATCGCTTCCACTAGCGGCCATTAGTGACAATTGAAGCACACTGCCCTTAACTTCAGTTCATCTGTGTTTAAGGTACTGTTGCTCAACACGAGGTACACCTTCGTGATATGACAAAACGCAGCAAACACGGCCGCTTCGAAAGTGTAATAAATTTGTAAGCAAGGTCGTCATGTTGATAAGCTTGACTATGAAAATGAAAATTTGCCAATGTTCTAATTTGTTTTTCACGTTTTAATCGCTGAAGTTTACATTTGTTTTTTGATGAGCATTAAAGTAAAAAATAAAGTAACAGCCTATAATATAACTAAATTAAACTATATTTACGGATTTATCGCGTTTTATTTTACATAATTTTTATTTAACGAAAAATAGTAAATATTGAAATAAGATTTTTTTCACATACTTTATTTTAATGCAAAAGTACAAAGTTTGTTTTCATATAATAAAGTAGAATATTATAAAATATGGTTGGCAAACCTAGTTGTAAGACGTATCAATAATCAAGACATAACTCTTTTATCGAAACCGTAAATTTTTTCTACTTTGAGAGTATTCTTTTTCCTCCTCTTTTTATTTTGTTCCCTTTCTTTCTTGTTGGCTAACAATGTTGACCTCTCAATTGTGTCCATGAGAGGCAAATCTTTTGTCTCTGGTGTGTTAGAGTAAGAAGAGCGCCGTAGAAGATAGCGGTACCGCAAAAAAACATGGACGGTAGAATGACGGAGATCGTGTTCTGGAATGAACAAATTATACTTTATAGTCTTCCTTTTAACCTTGAAATTTAATTCAATGCATTCATAAAGCAAAAAGATGAAAAAAATGTGATTTATTTATAGTATAATTGGGTTTTTGAAAAAAAAATTATTGATTTTTTTATGTATTTTAAAACTTTATTATTAATAATATTGATATTTAATGCAAACGACTTCAAAAAAATTTTTTCAATTAATTATAAACTATTAAAAATTGATGAAATTTAAATAAAAATCACGTGACTATAAACGCGCCATGATTGGTCACCATAGTTGTGACGTCATAATGTTATAGCTATTTAATAACAGTACAGCGTTTACGGGTATTACACGTGACTAGACAATACTATTGAAAATTTATTGCTGAAGTACGAGTTGTTAGTTGGTTCCGATTAGCTATGTGTGATAAAGGATTTATTAAGGCAAAGTCTGATAATATCCCTGATGTTGATATATTAAATGACATTCGGTTTAATTCAAGGTAGTAAAGTCATCAAGGTAGTAAGATACATGAATTTATTATTTAAGCACTTTAAATTATCAATAAAAAATTTTTTTTAGTGCTATTATTTTAAAGGTTTTGGAGTCCACTTAAAAAAAATTATTCACTGAACTTTACTTAAATATATAATAATTATTTGATTTGTATACTTAGATAAATAATAATTCATACTAACATCGAAATGATCTTCACAACAAAAAAAAAATCGATTTTGATTTGGGATTATCACGGTGCACTGCTTGCCACCGCCAATCCGCAGTGGGGCCGCGTGGTGGACTATGCCCTGATACCCTCTGTATAGAGGAGGCCTTTGCCCAGCAGTGGGACATGTATAGGCTGTTACTTTACTGCTTGAAACCATTTATTTCGACGTATCTTGGGGAACATTTAAAATCATTTTTTCAGGAGTTGTTTTTGTAGTATTCGTACATAATGGTACAAAACAAGAACGATAACTTTTTTGGTTCGACATTTTTAATATAAATTTAAATATTTAAGGCGCTGTATGCAGTAAAAATAGGTTTTTCAAAAGGTTTTTTTAGCAAAATCTACACATTTTACAGCAGCAAAAAAAAATTATGTTAACCTTGATCGTACATTCTAATGGACCATTGTTTCCAAAACATATTCTCGATATATTTTCTGGATAGAAAAAAATCATGAAACTACCTCTAAAAGAGAAATTCAAATCAAAAAATGAATGTAATATATCAACAAATCTTAATGAAATTAATATCAGTGGTGTAGAATATATTAATAAAAAGGACTGTTGTTTTAATTTTTTGATTGATGTAAGGTATTTGTAAATATTAACTTAATTCATTAAAATTAATTCGAACGCGATGGCCAAAACACCACGCCACCGCGGCGTTGTTTCGGCTCTCTTCCAATTCCACACGTTGAACAGAGAGCGCTGAGGCGCCTTGCTAGATGGATCTATGCCGCTCATCGCCCGCTCACCGTTACGAAATATGTTTCGTATTTATTTATTATTGACAGTTTTAATATTATTAGTCCTTCCAAAACACGAAACTAAAAAATATATATTCACATATTTCGTATTTATAAATTATTTGTATGTATTAACAGTTGTTAATTAATTTATTTAAAGCGTTATTTCAATGTCTTATCTCGTGATTGGTCTATCAGTCCTATACATACAGTATATAGGACCATCATTCTTTATGGATTGGGTTCAAATCCCTAAATTTTTTGTTGTACTTATTGTTGATTGTTGTACTTATTTGGAAATATTTCTTAATTACCATTTAATTTTTGTTGATTGTTTATTTTCATAAATAATTACAACAAAATATTATTGTATTTGTTCAAAGTTGAAACAGTTGGAGAACAATCTATCAGTAAATAAACCAACTTTTAGTATTAAAATTATTTAATGTCATCTATTTTTTTATTAAAATATTTAATTTTTCACCCTAAAACGATAATTTATCTTATACACGAAAAACAATTGTTTTATACTTTTTATATTATTAATTTGTTTATTTCCCAAATTGAGCCATTTTATAAAATAAAAACAAAATAATTTGATGGCTAACAAAATAAAAGTGAAAATAATATAAATAATACAACGCCCACTCGATGAGGGTTTGAACTTGAGACTACAGCAATAGTTTATCGTTGTGTATAACACTCGGACCAACAGGCTACACGAGGTCTGTGGAAAGTGACAAGTGATTCTTGTTATAATTGCTGTCGTTTATCGATAGAAATAAAGATTTTATCGATAGTTTTTTAAATTTCACTTTAGTTGAGAAAGTAATATAACATAGTAAATCTTGAACATTTAAAGGATAAATTAAAATTCCTAATATATAAAAAAATGTAATAAAAAAATTGTATTCGTAATTTCTGCCAAAATTTTATGAGCCATTTCTTTAAAATAACAATATAAACCATGAAAACAAAAAATAATAATTATAGGTAATATGTCTTTATTAATTTATTAGACTTTAAGATGTATTTTTAATTAATTCCTTTTCCATTTAATTACAAAAAATAATAATAAACAGGAAGAAGATTTTCTAAAATTGTTGATTGCTTTCTGATACTTTATATTTGTTTGTTTATTATTATTCCTATTATATGATATAAAAGTAAAATACAATCATGGTCTATAAAAGATGTTATAGGCATCATCTGTGTACATTTTCGAAAGCCTTCCATGATACTATCGATAGTATCCTACGGCCCATCAGTACACACACACTAGGTAAAGAATGACTTGGACCAGCGGCGCGTCGACGAAAAACGCGCGCAACGCGCCGCTAAGCGGCATTACCCCTCCTCCGCTTCCTCATACTTCACCACCCAAATTGTTAAAAATTCACTGCATACAGCGCCTTAACTTACTTTTACGTGTTAGGACCATGCAGCAGCCTCGGCTGTTGGACGAATGGACAGGCTCGTCCGGCTAAGTACTACGACCTCACAGAAGACTGGCGTGAAGTGGAAGTATAACACTTTCGCGATTCTACTTTTTTTACTTTACTGGTGAGTAACGTAGATGGAGCCCAATTTTCAAAAGGTTTTCAACGCATCTGCAACCCTCTAGTGCAGCAGATGTCCATGGGCGGCGGTATTCACTTAACATCAGGTGAACCGCCTGCTCGCTTGCCAACTTTCACATAAAAAAAAGCCAAACAAACGGCGTGGGTGTTGCAAGCGATTTAGTAGTCGTGGCTGTGTCGTTGAATGAAGAATGGTGCTGGTATTGCGTTTGGCTACTCCCCTATCCTCGCCACGGGGTTTCCCCTACCCTCTGCGGCCGTCAAAGAGTGAGTAGTGGAACCACAGATCATGGCAGCCGTTAGGTGCCGGGAGGCTTGCTAATTGTTAGCAGTGGCTCCCCCAGCTCCCATGACCATGCCATGTCCTATCTAATTCTATCGCTCGGTTTCTGAAACACTAACGGCCGGTTTCTGACACACTGATCATCGTAGATGTCAACTAATGAGCTGTCAAATAGCTTTTCAAATGTCATTTTAGGTACAATCAGTGTTTCAGAAACCGAGCGTAATCATCGTAGATGTTTTTTTTTATAAATTTTTAAAAGAAACATTGCCCTTACTTTAGGATAACATAATCCTGTGTTGTAAGGACGTTTTACAAAGAAAATTTACAATAAACAATATTTACAGTAAACAAATTTCACGTGGACAAACACCCAGATTCGGAACAATTATCTGTGGGTCACACAAGTTTCAATAGTTGTCCCGTGTGGGAATCGAACCCACGACCCTCGGCGCCGAAGCCAATATCTTGGCAACTCCGCCACGGAGTCATCAAACTAATCAGCTGTCAAATGGCTTTTCAAATGTCACTTGGGTAGCCAAAAGGATGGTTAAACTCTTTGAATTGATAATTCTGATTATTAAGAAGATCATTCTGGTCAATTCAGAGAATTTAACCATCCTTTTGGCAGCTAAAATGAAATTTGAAAAGCCATTTGACAGCTGATTAGTTGACATCTACGATGATCAGTGTTTCAGAAACCGGCCGTTAGTGTTCTAACAATTTCCCGCCTTGACGTGGCTGATGGAGTTGGTAGCCGTGGCTTGGTCACCTAAGGTGAAGCAAAGAGTAACCCACACTGGGTCGGCACCTGGTGCCGCTTCGAGTGGGCTCATTGAGGCCATTCTGGATGAGAGTGCAGAGACAAGCACTTACAATAAAATTACCATATGTTTTTAAAAGGAACACGCTTTGTCCGTTAAGTTTGTTAACACTGTTTTTGCATAGAGAAATAATCTTTTCATATATGTCCTATACATATAGGAAAACATATGACATGATTTTCTATAGAATATTGTCCAAAAGGATATGGTAGTAGTAGAAAATAATACGACATTTAAGATAACTATTATTTTTTATTATTTGTGTATAAGCTCATATACTTATTTTTACATCTTACTAATACGGTTTTTCATTACAGCTTTTAAGATAATAGTTAAAATATTGTCAAAAAAAAAAAAAAACTCCGTTCAATTTATACATTTCGTTTTAATTATTTTTTTATTCCCTAGTAAAAAAATAGAATCATTGAAATGTCTTTGAATCAATTGCGTTTCTAACATTAAAGGATAACATCACAATTGTAGTATTTTGACATAAATTATAAAATAAAATGCTTGATCTTATAAGAAATGCCATCAAGACTATTGATGCAACAGAAATGATATAAAGGAAGCAGAGATTCAGGAATAAATAAAAATATATTTAATAAATAAACAAACGGAATAAAAAACGGAAATGAATATATTATAGTATGAAGAATGTACTCCTTTTAATTAAAGTATGCGTGAAGTGAAAGTGTTATTACGTCTGCGTTTCATTTCGTCTGGTGAGTGAAGTAGCCGGAGCCCACTTTATTAAAAACTGGCAACGCATACGCAACCCCACGGGTGTCCATTGGCGGTGGTTATCACTTAACATCAGGTAAACCGCTAGCTCGCTTGGTACCCTCTTACAAAAAAAAAAATAATCCCGAAAAATAGTTTGACCACTTTTACACCCAGCAAGCTGCTCCGGTCCCTAAACTACTACGCCCGTGATTCCCCTGCCATAATGTTCTGTTAAAATTGCTGTTATAAAACTTGTGAAAACAGAATCAGAAACGAGTGTAAAAGAGAGTTGAACTACTGAGTTGTATTCATGAATTGATTGCGGAAGTAAAATAAAAGGTCTGAAGCATCACTAATCAAGTCATAACACTTTTATCGAAACCGTAATTGTTTTCTCCTTTGAGATTATTCCCTTTCCTTCTCTTTTTATCTTGTTGGGTAATAATGTTGACCTGTTCAATTGTGTCCATCAGAGGCAAATCTTTTGTCTCTGGTGTTAGAGTGAGAAGAGCTCCGGAGAGGATGGCGGCACCGCAGAAGAACATGGACGGTAGAACGACGGAGATCGTGTTCTGGAATGTAACAATTATATTTTACAGCCTTCAATTTTAACTTTCAATCTTTAATTTCATAAAAATATATATATATATATATATCGGTTTATTTTTTATTTAATATCTTTCAGAAAAACGAGTCATCTGAAAATGGTATACTGAAAGGATTTACACGACAAAACTTTTTTTTTATTTTGTCGCTTTGCCTACACTGCTGCAAAGAAAATATATTTTTTCATTAAGACATTGTTCGAATAACGAAATATATATATATATATATATTTTCGTTATTCCAACAATAATATATATAAATATGGGGCTGAAGTATTTTCCTAATGGCATCGTTTCCTTTGCAAGTGGAGTAAGTGCATTTTCATTTTTATTATATTCAAAAACATAACTTATAATTGAACCTATAATCGCCAGATTAACATATGCAGTATATGTTAACTAAGCGACTTTTGCAAATAAAAGAGTATGTATTAACAATAACCACATCCACAATGTTGATAATAGTCATATGAATCATGTTGATAATAGTCATACGAATCATGTTAATAATAGTCTTTATTTCACTAAAACAACTACGTGTGAACTTTAGTGCGACTAGCTTGGTGTTTGATTCCTTTGATAAAACGTGTATACTGTTAAGATATATAATTAAGTTCTGTCATTGTCGCTCTGTGTAACGATAAAAAAAAGGTAGTTTCTGTCTTTCCATTTTAATAAGGCAAAGGGAAAGGGTGACAGCATAAGGTAGTATTATTTCCCCTCTCATCTACGCAATTCTCATTTCGTTAAAATTCAAATTAAAAACATTTCATTTGCTATATAGGATTACATTGATGTTCACACTATAGTCTGGGGTGTAAACCTATTTAATGTATAAGCCAAAGGTAAAAATTACAACTTCATTTGCTTTAGGCTCTTATAAAAGTCAACACATAACAAATTTCCACTGAAAAACGGATAGAAATCAAGTTCACATAAGTTCTTAATAGAGGAGTAGAGAGACTAACAAGACAGCAGAAGCTTACCAAGATCGGTGTCAAGGGGGCCAACATGCTACCAATGCTGGACGCCAGCGAGCATATGCCCAGGAGGCTGCCTCTGACACTGGTTGGGAATAGCTCCATGGTGTAAGTGACCACGCCGGTGTAGCACACGGAAATTACCAGCTTTCCGAATAGAAACAGCACTATCTTCAGCCAAGTATAATCTGCAAATGAACATAGTTAACCTCGTTAGCCCCTGCGACATATCAGCTTCGCTGTAGCAATAATTTTACTTTACTCACTTTATTATTTCTACAATTATAATATACTAATGGACCCGATAGACGCTGTCCTTTAAACAATTGTGACTGAAATCCGAAAATAACTTATGAATAAAAAAAAATGTGGCCCGAATTGCGAATCTACACCATTCTCGACCTGAAGACAACACAAAATTTCATGAAAATCGGTCCAGCCCTTTAGGAGGAGTTTAGTGACATACACATGTACAGAAGAATTATATATGTAAAGATTAATACAGTGTCAGCTTTAATGGTCTATTATTGCATGAATCAGCCAACCCTAATGAAAAGGTACAAGGGCAGGGCCGGATTTAGGGGAGGGCAACCGGGGCAACAGCCCCGGGGCTCCCACAGTGGAGACTTCGGAAAAAAAATTCAAATTCAGACTAATAAACAACTTCTTCCTTCATATTTTTTTTTCATTTAACTTTTACCTACGGTACTTTGTACAAACATGATTACATTAAATATTAACAGAAATCAATAGAAAATTATTTGGGGCTAAGGGGCCTCCACTCCTTTGTTGCCCTGAGGCCTAGAGGTCTGGCTCTAAATCTGGCCCTGTACAAGGGTATCTTAGAAGATTGGCGTGAGGCTCTTAGGCTATTGCTTTTGAGCGGCGGGTATCCGGGGGCACCCGCTTAATAGCTTGGTCATCCACAGCGAAGTCACGAATAATCTCCACTGGACTCAGGTTTATGGTGGCAGAGCAAATCTCCCTGTCGCCGACCTGGAGTCATGGGGGCAGAGGAGATTTAGCTACTGTCCCTATTTTCCGCGTCTCGGCAGGGCTGGACCGATCTTGTAACAGTTGTGGGGGAGACATTTCCACTTCTGGGAATCGGGAGGCTAGCTGCTTAAATACTATCAAGTGCTATTAAGATACAGCATACAGTATACACAATGATGGTTTTCGGACTTGATATGAAAATAAATAAGTCATTACCGCATTGCGCATCAAATAACTTCCTAAACAGTCCGTTGGTCGAAATTAATGTTTGTACTTTAATGTTCAAATTTTAATATAAAAATGAGGTTTACATCTCAATTAGGTGAATTAAAGGAAACTGTTATTAATTTACCTTCAGGTACCCAAGCTGATCCCGCGCAGAGCAGGCCGCATGTGATATAACCACAGATCAACGGAAGCTTTCTGCCCACTTTGTTCATCGAATACATCGCCACCAGCTCGCCCGGATACGACATCACTGACGCTAGCATGAAGTTGGTATACTTATTTCCCGGCAGGTACACAGAGTTCACCATGAGGCCGTAATAAACGAAGCCGACCGTAAATTTACAGAAAGCGCTGATCACCACTCTCTTCATGATCTCCCTCGACTTGAAGACGTCGCTGTAGCTCTCCTTGTGCTCGTAATTCTCCATTTTGAACTCTTTTCTCAGACCCTCCTCGTCCATATCAACCAGCTTTTGTCTGTTTATGTTGACGCCATTAAAATCCGATATGTGTACAAGGGTGCGTTTTGCCTTGTCCGCCTGCCCATTCAAAATCTGCCATCTAGGGCTCTCTTCAATGAAGAATAGTAAGACGAAGACGAAAATTGGCGGTGTGTATATGATCCTGATCAAGCTTTTCCAGTATGGCACGTACATCGCTATGAGAGCGAATAGCGTCTCACCCAGGTATATAGCATAAGCGAAAAGCACACCGGAAAGTATCCTGCTCTTCTTGCCCCCTATTTCAAGCACTGTGACGGACATAAGAATAAAAAAAAATAGTTTAATTTTGATCAGGTACTTGTTGAATACTTAAAGGAGCTAAAAAAAACCTGCCAAATGCAGATCGGACTTGGGCACGAAGGGTTCCTTACCTATTATCTATAAAAACTGCAAAAAAAATCATGTCTGTTGTATTGGAGCCCCACTAAATGTTTTTATTCGGTTTTTTATTGTATTGTTGTTATTACGGCAAAAGAAATACATCAAAATCATTTATTCGTCGACATAAGAAACATACATTTCATCTATCGACGATCATATTGTTTAATCTACCATCATCTGTGAAAATTTTATTTTAATTTCTTAAAACTATCACGGTTCAAGAGATACAACCTGGTGACAGACGGACAGACAGACAGACATATAGGCAGCGGAGTCTTAGTAATAGATTCCCATTTTACCCTTTGCATAGCAATGCATGAAATTCCTGATGTCATTTAAAAAAAAGTTTTGTTTTTAATGTAAAAAGTTACCAAGCAAGCAGGCGGTATACCGAATGTTAAGCGAGTACGTAACATGCTTAGCTCTATCATAGGATTAGGTGAATTAACAAGCGGTGTGTCCTATTTACGAACATTGCCTACGTATTATACCATAGAGGTACATTGCCGTTCTTAAGAGAGAGAATATCTCTCAGTTGTTCAAGTCCTATCGGATTAAATGCATTAGTATAAATACGAGTATATAATTCCAGTCTTCGATGAGGTTTTGGTAAATCCCCAGACAAGACAGCCTATAAGGCAACAACAGAAATTTGAGCATGTATCATTTATACACTATGATTTTACTTACTTAGTATCATAGCAGCGCTGTAGGAACCACCGCCTACCAACGCCTCGACCATTTCGATCGCTACGTAGATGTAGTACGAGGTGGTGAAAGCCTTCAGATGACCGATACAGCTTCCGACGGAGCAGAATATTAACGTTGGCTTCCGGCCGAATCTGGACATTTCAAAGAAGTTGTAGTTTATGTTACAACTAGCGACCCGCCCCGGCTTCGCACAGGTGCTTCGCACGGGTATTATACATATAAACCTTCCTCTTGAATCACTCTATATAGTAAAAAATAATTATATGTAGCAAAGCGTATCTAGTAAAAAATATATATAAACCGCGTCAAGATCCGTTGCGTAGTTTTAAAGATCTTAGCATACATAGCAAGACACAGACAGCGGGGCGACTTTGTTTTATACTATGTAGTGATGATAGGGTTTTCTATTACATAGAACAGCATGAAGTAGAAGTAGTTCTTTATATCCTTTTTTAGTCTGATGAGTGATGACCAAGTACCCTTCTACCACTCCTTGAAATCTATGAGCGGTGGGCTAGCCGGGAAAATACGAGTACTTCGGCTTCAAAGAAAACTGGTATAGGTGGAATTGGAAGTATTCAACTTTCGCGTTTAGTTTGGTATGTAAGATTTATAAATGTATTTTGCAACAGGTGGATGGCCCTTGTTCAATTGTGGACGTCTACCGACTGATGATGTTTTTTCATCTCGACAACACATTCAATGGGGGACATCACGGATTGTTAACTTCGTTTGTCGGTAGTCGGTACTGCTCTGATTGGCGATCATATTTGTGTGTATACGTGTGTGTATGTATTTATGTCAGGCAATTGTTACTTCAGTGTATTTATGTCCGTTCACAAAAGACACAGTGTACAGAATGCGAATCGCACAACGAGGTACGGAGCGTTCCATGCTGGGCATCGTGTTAAGAGATCGCATCAGTAATACCGGTCAGCGGCGAAGGTAAACGTATAATGCGGCTTAAATTGCGCTGAGCAGGGCACATTTCTAGACATGGTAACAGCAGCTGGAGTAGAACCTTAACCGAATGGACGCCTCGAGCGTCCTGGAGAAGGAAGGCGTGACGTCGACAGAACACATACCCGATGGGTCGATGAAATTATAACAATCGCAGGAAAAACGTGAAGGAATGCGTTCAGCTCAGGACAGGGATGATGACGCAGAGGGAGGAAGCCTATGCCCAGCCGTGGGCTGATACGGGTTGACGATGACGATGATAATGAATTGTTACGTACCGATCAGACAGCCATCCGGAGAGAACCATCGAGAACAGCATGCCGATGTTGTGGATAGTACCTATTAAGTTGGATTTCCACGGCTGACATGCTAGATTGAGCTAGAAAAAGAAATAATTAAATGTTTTATCGCCGAGATGAGTGGATGCATTTGCGTAGCTATCTTTTAAAAACAGTAAGCCCTGGCTACGAATCTCACTCATTAGATGAAATGCAAAGATATAATACTTCTAGCTTGTTTTCTTCAAGGCTCTGTTACTTCCCCAGACGAATCAGCCCATTCGTTCAACATCGGGAGTAGTACTAAATTCTAGTGTTCATGTATTCTTTTTCGGGTCTTTAAGTGTCGATTACGTTGCTTAGTTATTTAAATTGTTTATTTTATTCTCGTCCTTTTTAAAAAAAACAAATACTCCTCGTCTTTCTCCAGGCTTATTATCTGGATTATTTGTGGTCAGCCCTCATACTACTTCTGCGCAAAGCTGTACCGTTGTGGGTTGCCCCTTTGTTGTGTCATTCGCCATCATGTGTAAATATAATCTTTGTGTTTAGTCAAATGTGTTAAGTCTACGCTACATGTCAGCTGATTACGCTCGTCGTTATAGTACCGCAAGGTTTGATGTAAAGTTTTCCATTTTTATAAAATTGTTTCACTGTTGGATCGCTGGTACAAAATGAAAAAGATAGTCACCGCAGCTATGACCGTGTCGTTTGTTTCGTACACCCATTGGGTGCATTCTTCGAAGGTGCCGCTGAAACTCCCGTTGGTGCATTGCTGGCTGGTCTGCTCTTTTAGTGCGGGCTTCTGGCATCGGTCTATCGTGACATTGGGCCACCATGTTGGTTTGTAGACCGCGACTTGCTCGTCGCACTCCGGGATACGGCAGCTGAAATATTTTCCTTCAGAACTTACTAGTGTTCACACGACGATTGGCGGTAATGTAGCCTTCGTTACTAATTCTTTATAAGGTACAAGAACACTCCCTGTAAAAAAGAACTTACACTTCTGCGTTTCGCCTGGTGAGGGAGGTGGCCGGGCCCAGGTGTTGAAACGTCCGTGGGTGGTGTTTATCATTTAACACAAGGAGAACTGCCGCTTGCCGCAATCTCATGAAAAAAAACGGCTAAGTGATAGTCGGCCTCGCGCACGAACGGTGCCGGTTATGTACAAAAACGGCATGATTTTGTATCCCCATACACTTACATTTATTTTATTCTGCTTTTTTGTATTTGTTGTTATAGCGGCAACAGAAACACAACATCTGTGAAAATTTCAAGTGTCTAACTATCATGTTTTATGCGATATAGCCTGGTGGCAGACGGACAGACAGACTGCGGAGTCTTAGGGTCTCGTTTTAGCCTTCGGAATCCTTAAAACAAATTCCTATACACGTTCGTTAAGACTACAATTACTCTTCTACATACCGATAGTTCAAATCGCCGGCAACGAAGACGTAGTTAATGAAGTTCATCGTGATGAAGACCGCTGGCAAACACGAATAAAGATACTGAAGCTTTTGATATTTGCCGAACTTCTCCATTATTTTGTTTACTTCGACCTCCTCTTTCGAATTGCGTTCCATGTCATTAAACGCCATTTCGAAATATCACATTCAGTCAATGCAAATTCGATAATCTCTCTTATTTCACGTCACAGTAATTACTTGATTCCGAATTTAAAAAATGGTTCGCTTTTGTGCCGCTCCAATAAAACTGCACTGAATGGTGCCATCAATACTTTTGTTATTTCGCGCGTGGCTCTCGAAATTTCGCGCCAAAAGTTTCTTTTAGAGTAAAACGGAGTGCACTTCACACGTAACAGCTAGACAGTGGAATTCCCGGTTCGAGAAATTTGTTTTAATCGTTTCGTTTAAATATTGTCTCGCGGCATCATAAAGTGTTATTATATTTACTTGTCTAATAGGATAAATGTTAAGTAATACCATATATGTTAATTGATATTTGATGCCGACGCTATCTCTAGTAATAAATGTTTACACACTATTTTCCACATTTGCTTGTTTCAGTATTTTTTATAGTCTATCGAACAAAAGATTTTGTTTATTTACAACCGACTTCAAAAAAGGTTCACCTGATGTGAAGTGAATACCGCCGCCCATGGACATCTTCTACCCCCGAGGGTTGCAGATGCGTTAACAACCTTTTGAAAATTGGTCTCCGGACATCTCACTCTCCAAACGAAACGCGAAAGTATTATACTTCCATTTTACGATGGTCTTCTGTGAGGTAGTGGTACTTACCCGGACGAGCCTGCCCATTCGTGCAACAGTCGAGGCTACTGCATGGCTCTTCCAAAGTCCATCTACAGATAGATTTGCTATTAGTTACTGCAGATAGAATTTGACGTAAGTTTTATGAAGCTGTCAAATATCTATCGCTAGTAACCAGAATTTTCTTTCGACTCGGTCAGCAATATTTTTGATTTAAATCAAAAATAACATTTCAAATAGTTTTCACGTAAAAAGTAAAGTAAAGTAACAGCCTATACATGTCCCACTGCTGGGCAAAGGCCTCCTCAGGCATATCAGGGCATAGTCCACCACGCAGCCCCACTGTGTATTGGCGGAATTCACATAACTTCGAAAAAATATTTTTTTTTGTTATTATTTCGAAAATATGCAGGTTTCCTCATGATGTTTTCCTTCACAGCGGAGCACGTGATAAGTCAGCACTTAAAGTTAAAAACTTCATTGGTGCCGGCACCGGGGATCGAACTCAGGTTGCTCGAGTATATTGAACTAAAGGCGAGCGCCCGGATGCTGAGCTATCACGGCTCTTCACGTTACTTTGTAATATTATGCATTAGTGAACAAAAATGAATCTATTGGTTGTTTTAGAGATTAATTTTTATTACTAACTATGGAATATACAAATTCTTTTTTGATAAACAAAGAAGCAGTTTAATTGTTTAATTGCAATCTTATATCAGGCAAAAGTTGAGGACAATGTGATTTACAAGCTCTGTAATACTCATGTATATATTTAATCCATACTTCTATACTAATATTATAAATGCGAATGTTTGTCTGTCTCGCTTTCATACCAAAACTACTGAACCGATTTAAATGAAATTTGGAACAGCGATAGTCTTGAGCCTGAGAAAGGACGTAGGCTATTTTTAAATGTATTTTTTTTAGCCTGGTGACAGCGGAATTTTAGTAATAGGGTCCCGTTTTACCCTTTGGGTACCGAACCCTAAGAATTACGGTAGCCCGGTTAATTAACATAATTATAAAATTAGGACATCAAACATCTGTCATTAGGACATCAATTAAAACGATAAAATCCGTATGTAGTTTTATTTATATGTGTGTTATATTCGCGTTGGTAAAGAAATGTTTGTGGTAAAAGCCTGTTAGTTTAATTTTAGACGGTTATCTCTCACACAGATGAGTAGTGTTGTTTGACAGTATTAAAACAGTGACGTATTATGATTGTTTAATAAACGAAGCTACGAAAACTATCTAAACGTTTAAGGTTATGCGATTTGTTATCGCATCGTAATCTACTTGAGGTTCGAGTGGTGACATACTGTATGAAGTGGGTTAGATCCCAAGAGATTGGATCTATTTAAATCTAATGAAAATATAGATTTATGGATTTATATAAATATGATTTATGGATTTATATTAATGAATCGGTTATTATTTGCTTAACGTATATAAGCATGAAATGGATTCAAGAAAATTATCAACATATTTTTCTTGAATCCATTCATTCAATATGAGGTCTTTTTTGATATTAAGTGGTAACCACCGCCGACCTCTGCAACACCCGTAGGGTGGCAGACGTGTTGCTATCTACCTGTTGCTATGTAACGACATTCATTAGAAGCAGTGCAGTATTCTAATATTTCCACGTCACGCCTGTCTTCTGTGAGTCGATGTTACTTCTCGGAAGATCCTGCCCATTCGTGCAACAGCAAAGACTGAGGCGGGCCACCTGATGGTAAGTATTCACCGCCGCTCATGGACACTCGCAACACCAGAGAAGTCAAAAATGCGTGGCCGGCCTCTGAGATGGGAATAGGCTCTCTTCTTGAAGGTCCCAGTATTGGTACGGAAATAATACTGGCGACAATTGATTCCACATCTTGGTTGTGCGTGACAGAAGCTTGCGTGGAAAACGCACGGTTGTGGACTGCCAAACAAATACGTGGTAGCGACAGTATGTGGCAGTTGACAGGTACTAACCCGAACAACTCCTCAGAGCACTCCCCGTGATAGATGCGATACAAAATACAAAGAGATGATTTTTTATGGGAAAAGATGCCAAGCAAGCATCAGGTGAACCGCCTACCTGATGTTAAGTAGCCAACTCATTCACCAGACCAAATGCGAAAGTATTATACTTCCACTTTACGCCGGTCTTCTGTGAGGACGTGGTACTTACCCGGATGAGCCTGCCCATTGGTGCAAAAGCCGAATCTGCTGCGTGATCCTACCACCGGAATCTACATCTCTTCGCAAGGACTGAGGGTCGAGACGATATTTTTTATGTTACAAAGTGGCAACCGAGCTGGCGGTTCACCTGATGTTAAGTGATAACCGCCGCCCATGGACGTTTGAAACACCCGTAGGATTGCAAAATCGTTGTCACCTTTAAACAAAGTGGGCCCCGACTACCTCACTCACCAGACGAAACGCAGAAGTGTAACACTTCTATTTTACGCTGGTCTTCTGTGAGATCGTGGTATTTACCCGGAAGCTCCTGTACATTCGTGCAACAGTGAACACCATTGCGTGGTCCTACCACAGTTATTCAAATTATACGATTATATTATTTTAAATATATTATACGATTGGAAAGTACCTGGCTACTGACTGTTTGCGGTCAAATGAAGCTGAGAACAGTATTTCAAGTACGACTGAATTTGCCCTTTGTAGAGTTGCAGGCAGTGGGGCGCCATGAAATTCTGCCTTTCTCTTCTCGGGACATCAAGCTTTGGTTTGCTCTATCAAATGACCCAGAATTTAAACGTTACTCGTCAATTGCACAAATCACTCAATATATTTGCCGGGCTTGGCCGCAGAGCCCACACTGTCAACAATCACCTTGATGCTGCGATCCATGCAATAATAATCTTAGCAAGCCCGTATGAGTGTTCTTAGAAAGAAGTGCTTCGTGCCGAACCCGAATGTAGGCTTACGTTACGTCCAAACTAACCTTCAATGAGTTAGGTAGACCAGATGATCATAAGACGATCTGCGTATCATTAGACTGTCCAATATTATAGAATGTCCAATATTATATAATTGAAATGTGAATTAAATGTATTTTTAGTGAAAGTAGGTGACACTTAAAATGAAACCGTGTGTGAGATATATGCTGGGACGGCTAGCCCAGTTAAATAATTCTGCGGACAGAGATCGTTGGGTTGTTACGATTGCTGGAATAACAAACTGCACATATTTGTTGATGTATTTTGAACGCTGTCACTTTTTTCGGAGCGACAGTTCTGCTATTTAAATAATCATTTTCATTCATCATAAGTCTTGTCTCCTTTCTAATCAAACAGTACGGTAACCTCCAGTAATAAGATAAATAGATGGTTAACATTATGGATAACTAGCCTAGCCAACTTCTTTGGAATATTGAAATTTGGAAAGAACAGGACTTTGAATCGCGTTGGTTTCTTAATAAGCAAAATAAAACCTATTTACTGTCGTCATGCGAATATGATGTTTTATAACGGTTTAACCTTATCTAAATGATTCAATAACCAACTCACGATAACCTCTAATGTTTGTTCTAAGTAAATACACTCGATCGTAATAATTAAGATCATAATGAAAATATATTTAATTTGACATGCTAGTGTAATAACAAAGCCACATTTGCTTGTAACTAGTTGATATTGATTGATTATAAATTTTAGCGAAATCTTCACTATCTTTTAAAAGTTACTGTGCTTTTTTTCTGATACATCAAATAGCCAAAAAGATATGTTAAAATAAAACTATTTTACGCATTTTACATAATTTACTATTGCATAGGTTTATAAGTAAGTAGAAAATTCGCCTGATTGTCTGCATATATATTAAGTTAAGGATCAAAGAGCTAAGAATTATTCTAAAGAACAAGAATATGTTTATGAATATGTATGCAAAATGGGCTTACTTATATCAGTTTTTCCCCGTTGTTTCGCAAAGCGCCTATTAATTTTTAGAGTGAAATACGCGAAGTAATAAAATGCGTTTGAAATAATTGTAGGCGTTAAAATTTTTGGTACGCCATTTATTATTTATTATTAACCATTGATTTTTATGTCCTGGTGCCACGCTGCTTCTGCCGGCATTTAAGACCGGTGTGGTGATAAAATTTATGGGAAAACTTTTGTCCACAATATATTTTCCAATCAATTAGGTCTTTTAACGACTAATGTTCATCAAGCATTCAATGACTTCAAAGAGGGAAAAACCACCTATTTATTTTTATGTTTTTTATGCTCCAATTGTAGACTTTGTAGATGGTGCTAATCAAGTGATAGTGAGTGTCAAGTAACAACAGTACAATCACCGGCTTATTTGCCACCATTTATAATAAAAAAAAACTTTACAAAACATCAGGTCTCTAAACGAGATAAACAACGAAATGCAAAATTTCATAAACATATCAAACTAACATAAGAGTTTTTGCAAGGGATAATGGTGTCTGGTTTCCCCAAGTGGTATGCAGCCAACTCTCAACCAATATTCGTCGATTGCTTGTGGTTGTGAGCAGACTCCTGGCCTCACGACCCTCAGTTCTGGGTTGGCGCACTTCATGCAGCGTTCGTTTCCGTAAGTCTGGCCATCGGACCCACAGACGGGGGCGAAGTTGAGGGGACAGATACACGGCCCCTTCGCAGTAACCAAGGCCAACCACGAAAGGTACAATAAGCACGCGAGCACTGAAAAAAAAAAAACAAATTGAGCAAATCAATTTACATAAGTTTCCGTATAAATGCATTAAACCTAGTTAGACGGAGGAGATAGTCTAAGATGACCTTGTTTTGTAATAAGCTTAAGGGAGGGTAAGCTCGTCGTTTTGGGGTAAAACTAGTATGCAGTATATTTAAAAGATACCAGTCTTGTTAATGTATAGCCTGAGGTGCTGACGGCCTGGATTAATTTGCGGGAAGTCCATGCTGGTGGTTTAGGATCTACAATGACGAGGTTTATGGAGATAAATTCAACATAATAGGAACAGTTTTACTTTGAACAGATGCTATTTGAATTTTGTCCATGAGCGGTTGTGATCATTTACTATGGTAGCGAGGTGAGGTGATTGCTGGTTTTTCTCTCTAGTCTACATTAGACAAAAAAAATAAAACATAAATTTACATATAGAGTTTGAATCCATTGCTTTACTGAATCTTTGCACGCAATCAGCAAATGCAATTCCCATCACGATGTTACGGTAAATCAGATAACTTTAATCGACTGTGTAAGTAATCTCACAGTTCGATTTTTCAATCGTCGAAGATGATAGTTTTAAGCAAATCGTTTATGCTCCTTGTTATTTTCTTATTAATTTTCCTACCGTTTTTAATCGCATTACACTCGATTGCTGTCTGATTTTATTTAGATAATGAATCGAAATAAAAAATTAGTTAAACTCATTTTAGAGTAATAAGTACTTAGCAATGGTTTTATAAAAAACTACACACATTTTCACGTAACTACACAATTTTTACACGTAAAAAATCTTCCGAGGATCAGATAATGTACGAATGGATTTGTACAATATCTGAATCTTAAAAAAAATAACCTGCCCTAATAGCTCTCTTCTTTTATTTTTTTTTAAAAAATTAGAAAAATATGGAATCTAACGACAACTCTCAAGCTAAAATCCATCAAGCCGTTCAGGCTGTAGAGCGTGCCAAACAATGATACATACCTAAATACATACTCTCGGAAAATTTAACCTTCATTCTGGCGCAGTCGGATAAAAAAAATACAGTCAGAATTTATAGCCTCCTCCTGTTTTGAGGTCGGTTGAAAATTTATTGTAAAATTAACCAATATTTCAGTTTTATCATGTGCAATTATCTTATGTATTTGACCGTCATCTTCAAGACAGCTCTTGGCGTATGTATATCGTTTGAAAGATTTAAATATTATATTTATATCTATAACCAATATTTAAATAATATATTGTGCGTCTACATCGCGAGTTGTGTGAACAATGTCCTTTGTTGAAATTGTTTTCCGTCATTCTCATCCACTATTTTCATCCACAATTTTTTTATGTGAAAAGGTACCAAACGAGCTGGCGGTTCACCTGATGTCAAGTGATAACCTTCGCCCATTGACATTTGCAACACCGTTGAAATTTGCAAAAGGGGCACATTTGCGTTGCTACAGCAACAACCGGACCGTCGCGTGGTCTTACCACACTAAAAATGTATACTACTGTATACACTGGGATGCACATACTTTTTCATATCATCCCAAGTGCACTTGGGATGATATGAAATATTGACCTATTGGCAAAGTGTAAATTGCAGGCTGTTTGCGCGGTTATGCTTTAAAATATATGGACAATGACGGCAGAAAGATCCTGAGGGGGAGAGATTCGGATTGCGTGAGTTTCACAAGGGCCTGTGCTCCACCCGTTATTGTAGAACGTGGCGTTTGGTACGGTATTGCGTGTAAGCATCTAATAAAGTAGCATCATGCTAATGTAAATATCGTCTGCTTTACGGACGACATATTGACGATTGCTTGTGGGATAAAATGCGAGGAGTCAAGGAACTATCCAACTCGTACGTCTGTGTGGGTGGGGTAAATAAAGGCAGAGTAAGTTAGAAATACATAGGCCTACCCCTGGATAGTCAAAAAGGGAGGAATTTATTGTTAAAGTTAGAATAATTGTAACACCCCAAAAACAATACATATCAATTACAGTCAAATAACACAACAACTTCTTCCATATCCAAGCACGTAAACGGTATAAATAGTCTTACAGATAACAACATATAATAAGTCATACAAACACGCGTATGTCTAGATTTACAAGTATAGGTATTAAACGGATAATAAATTAAGTTTGATTCCGTCCCGATCAACAGATAGTCAATATTTAAGCATACCAGAGTATGGTCGAGAACAACTTGATGGATACTGTATTTGTCCATCTCCCCTTCGCCAGCAATATCTATTGTGACAAATTTTTTGTTCAAGGTTGGAGTAGCTTAGACAAAAAAAAATGATATATTAAATACGATTATATTAGAAATTCGAAACCTTATGTCTTATATATCCTATGAATTAATAATGAGCAAATAAGAGTAACCGCCACACAACACTACTGCAAGGCTCTTGTCTTAACACAACTTAAAATTACCAATTCTGCATAGATTGACAAAAAAAAATTTACCAAAAAACTGTCGGTAACCCGTACTAACAACGATATTCAGACGTAAAACCCCTCGGTTCGTCCCTTGACCGTGAAGGCTGAAAAGTATTCTTAACTACAGGAAATAAAATTAAATATATAATAAAATTAAATAAACACTCTAAAATTAGTTTCATTTACGCCCGGTTTCTGAAACACTGATCATCGTAGAACTTAAGTAATTAGCTGTCAAATGGCTTTTAAAATATTATTTAAGTTGCCAAAGGATTGTTAAACTCTCTGAATTGATCAGAATGGTCTTCTTAATGATAAGAATGATCAAAGAGTTTAAACATCCTTTTGTCAACTCAAATGACATTTGACAGCTGATTATTTAACATCTACGATTATCAGTGCTTCAGAAACCGGGCGTTAGTAATGTGTAATGACGTACGATACGAAACGGAAATAGATTAAAAAAATACTATCGATAGATTAAATGTATATTTCTTACTGCTATGAATAAATTAATTCATTTGATTTGATTCGATTCGTAAAGACAATAAATTATTATACTACCACAAATGAAATGAACGCGAATGTTTTTATGAAATAGTTATAAAATAATTATTTCGAACAGAAACGTGCACTAGGTAGCGGTTGGAGAGGTCGCCTCGATCTTAACTTCGCAGGGGCCGTTTTTGACCACGCGAAGTTCCGGTCGCGTGCATTTCATGCACTGCAGGTTGGAGTAGGTGAGGCCGTCGGAGCCGCAGACTGGCCAGTAGATTCTGGGGCAGGGGCATCCGCGCGCCGCGTCTGACGCGACGAACACCAGCGCCAAACAGAGAAGCGCTGGAATTATATACGTGGTATTAAAATCGCCTTCCGGATTCGCGCCCAGACGCTTTAACCACTAGGTTAAACGGCCGTATTCCGCACCGACGAAAATCTCAACGTCTTTTATCTACATTATTATATCATACAGGATTTCAAGCAATGCTTGGCCCATATTTTGTCATATCCTTTACAGCAGATAATCGATCGAGAGATATCACCATTGTTATTTGAAATTAAAAAAATAATAGTGCTAATCTCTGCACTGTTTTCTACGTTTCTAATGTTTCATCTTATTATATTACATTATATTCAGACATTAGAACAAAAAAAAAATGTTTTTTATACCTACGTGTTAGTGACAAATGGGCGAGATAATTACTGGGTTGCGTTGCCAATCTCAGAAATATGATGGTTGTTTGAACTATTTTATAGTCATACTTTTTAAACACTACAACATAATTTATATTTTGTAACATATACAATTTTTTACGATATATACCGATATAACTGTTTTAACTGAGTATAGTTATTAAATGGTTAATTAATTAAGTTTTAAGCTAAATTAAAAATTAACTTACCAATTTTTAAGGACATTTTGTAATACTCCGATAATAGTTATAAAATGTGTTGTAAACAGTGTCACTTCCTTACGGCTTTGCTGTTTTGTTGAAATACTTTCACCTTTATATACGAACATCTTCAATGTCGCATTGATAAGCCACTTGTTCTTACACTCGAGTGATTAAACAATGTATTACTACTGTCATAATTGGTGTAAACGAGGAACAATATCGATGTGGAAATAAGGGTCTCTTCACATTCTCTCTTCATCTTTAATTTACACGACATTAAAAAAGTACAAAGCGAAATTATGCAATTTCTTAGAAGTATGCATTATTTATTATGTGAGGATTATTTATTTGTTCTCTCGTCTGCTTGGGTTTACAAATAAAAATAAAGATATAGATATACATTGTGTATAATAAATAAATATTATTATATACAGGGAGATTTTTGAGAAGTGCCCAAATTTACACAGGAGGTTCAGACTCGGTAGTATAATCCTTTATTGAAATAAAAAACAAAGTATTTTTTTCCAAAAAAAAAAAAATGCCATTCTATTCCCTAAAAAACAGAACGTGTTGACAATGCGGTAGTCATTCATAAATACCTAACTTTTGCTGTGCACGAACTTGTGTGCGTGTTAGTTATGAACGATCGCGCGTAAAATAAATGAGTTGCGTATAAATCACGCACTTTCTGAGATAAGTTCAAATTAATGTAATTAATTCGTTAAGAGTGATTTTAAATATTTATCATTTATTATATAACATTATTTATGTCTAGAATTTAATAAAAAAAATGGATACACTTAGAAAAGCCATCCTGTATAATAAATTAACAAATAGGACCAGATGGAAGCCCTCGGCTGGGGAGACCAAACGACCGAGGGTTAGGGCGAAAGGGAGAGAAACCGGTGGACGATGCGGGCGGTATCGAGCATCGCCTTCTGCATTTGAGCTTGGAGTGGTCCGTCCCAGTCGCCTCAGATGTTCGGAGAGCCTGACTGAACCCATTGGCAGAAACGCCTGTTTATTATTATTAAGAATTTTACGTAAAGCATGGAAAATGTATTGTTACATTTACGACGAAAGAATTTCATTGACGGGTCTCTAAACATTTCATTTAAGTTATGTTGTAATTCAGTTTTATCTACTGATTGAGAAAAGGAACTTGTTTGTTGCACAGGCAATGTTTACGAAAGTAATTAGAGCGCACTTGATGTGAGCAAACCGGCAATCTGTGGTGTAACTTTGTTGTATTTTTATATAAGTAGAAGATAATACAGTACGAAAGAAAATGTACTAAATATGACCTTTTTCTTATCTCTCCCAAAAACAAACTGTGTGCCGCTGAGCCTGATAAGTTACGCGACAGTTTCCAAATTGTTACAGAATTTCTATTCCAAAGAAGCGGAAATATGATAAATGTTCTAATCGTATACACTGCAACAGTATTCTACAACTTGTAAGCTAAACAACGAGCAATCCGAAAATATTTTATAAATCGCTTTATCTAATAGTTTTTAACTAGGGAATGATGCACTTCTTTAACCATTTAATTGTGAATGTAGATAAATAAACAAAAACTATGCTAAACTATGGACTATGCCCTGATACCCTCTCTATAAAGGAGGCCTTTGCCCAGCAGTGTAACTTTACTTTACTTTTTTTAAACAAAAACTTTCGGTGCTGCAGAATTCGAACCTACGTCTTCCGGTTTCGCGCCTTGAATGAACAGAGGCCTACACTACACGAGAAACTCAACTCCGTTACTATTACTTATATCTGTAACGACATTATGGCTAAACAAATCACTATGGATAATATTGACTCGCCTATGTCAGAATACAAAGAAATCTATATCCAAAGGTCCTTGGTCCTTGATTTATGAAGCCTTTTGTATATGTGATCAGACAAACATTCTCAAGAATTTTAATTCTCATAATATACAACAGATGCCCTGAAAACTTTAACAAAAATAAAATAAGTAAAAACAAATTTTCTAAATATGAAACTTTAAATCCAAAATTGAAATATTTCATGTTATGTGATACTAGCGTCTAGCGACCCGCCCCAACTTTACACGGGTGCAATGTCTAATACATAATATATACCTTTCTCTTGAATCACTCTACCTAGTAAAAAAAAACCGCATCAAGATCCGTTGCGTAGTTTTAAAGATCTAAGCCTACATAGGGACAGACAGCGGGACGACTTTGTTTTACACTATGTAGTGAAGATGACAACAGAGCTGCTGGGTCGCCTGATGGTAAGTGATAACCGCTACTCATGGATATGTGCAACACCCATAAAGTTGCAGATGCGTTGCCACCTTTTAATAATGTGGGCCCCGAACCCACCAGACGTAACACAGATATGTAAACTTCTACTTCAGGTCGGTCTTATATGAGGTACTTCCATTCGTGGTTCTTCCCGGACGGACCTGTCCATTCGTGCATCCGCGAATGTGTTGCCCTACCACTGTTATATTGGATAAGGCAACAAAATTACAGAATAGAATATTCAATCGATATATCCTTAACAAATTGAAGTATTGCTGAGTTCGTGCAATATAATTGGTTATTAAAAAATGCTAGGCGCAACACACATTGATGCAGTTAGTCACTAAAGAACCATCCCACACCTGAAAATGTAGGGATCGCTGAAAAAGGTCTCAATATTCTTGTATGGTCTATTTACCGACAAAACTCATTCGGTGTTCCGCTGGAATTAATAAATCACAGGGAATAAACGACATCATCACGAGAGCCGTGATAGCTCAGTGTCCGGGCGCTCGCCTTTAATTCAATATACTCGAGCAACCTGAGTTCGATTCCCGGTGCCGGCACCAATGAAGATTTTAACTTTAAGTGCTGACTTATCACGTGCTCCGCGGTGAAGGAAAACATCGTGAGGAAACCTGCATATTTTCGAAATAATAACAAAAAATATATTCGAAGATATGTGAAGTCTGCCAATGGCAGTGGCGCAGTACACAAAGCAAACGCAGTGGGGCCGCGTGGTGGACTATGCCTTGATACCCTTTGTATAGAGGAGACCTTTGCCCAGCAGTGGGACATGTATAGGCTGTTACTTTACTTTTTTTTAAACGACATCAATTCAATAAGTTTCATCAGACATATAACTTTATGCGTATGAGGGCATTTTCCGTTATGGAAACTCAATAACGATGATCTAGGCAAAGTTGGTTTACGACTACAAGACAACTTGGTATCGCTTTAATATGAATAAAATATATTACATGGTTTTTACAGCTAGATATAAAGAAATTATTGAGCATGTACTATTTACCATAGCTAATCATTCCATAACAATTTCTGATAAAAAAAAAGAATTTGGGCCTAATAATGGACGGGAAATTAACATGAAGAACTCATAAAGGGTAAAATTCGCTCTGATTTTATGTCAGTGGTTGCATCTTTAAGGTAAATAATGAAATGTTTTTCGTATCCCATTAAAAACTAACATACAAATATCTTATTGAGCCACACGTATCGTTATCTACTATAAGTTTGGAGAAGTTGATGAATGACCAACTTAAATATATATAAGAGAACTCAAAACAAGACAGCAATGATTCGTTTTAACTCTCATTATCCAAAACTAAAAAATAAAAATACTAAACGATTATACATAAAAAAGTTTTTTTTACCAAAAAAGAACCGACTTCAAAAATCTCTTTTAACTCCTTAAAATTATACTAAATCTAATATAAAAAAATCTTCAAAATATAACCTATATGACCTACCTAACCTATAACAAAGTTTTTGTAGTTAACTCGCAAACGACATAACCTTAAATAACATGTACAACTAGGGTAGGTAAAAAAATCATTAGTTTTTTTTGTGAGAAGGTGGCACGGGAGCTGGCAGTTCTGCTGACATTTGCACCACTCACAGGGTTACAGATGCGTTGCCATCTTTTAGTAAAGTGGGCTCCATTTAACGCATTCGCCAAACGAGGGAGTCCAACATTAAAACATATTGCCTAAGGAAATTAAAGTTTAAAGACATTGTTTTAAATACGCATATTGAACAAATTGTTAATTACTTACATTTAAAAACTCGGGTTAGCTACCCGTCTAAATATATATGGTTGAAATTTTGTATGTTAAGTGAACTATATAATGTTCTTTTGTGATAAATAAACATTTCTTTAACTTGTACAGGCTCAGGAATTCCCTTTCCCGTCTTAAAAACAAGCAGAAAAACTTTTGGCAACCACGGCTTAGCCAATAGACACGTTTGTTCCCAAACTGTAACGTGCGAGATTTGGTATAATTAATTCATAAATGAATTAATAATTAAATAATAATTCTATCTAAATGAAGCATGATAAAATATAGTATACACAGTTACATACTAGCTTTCGATCGCGGCAATATCTTTTTTTAATAAAAATCCTATGATCTTTTTAATACCTCTAAAAATATGTGTACAAAGTTTCTTGATAATCGGTTGAGTAGTTTTGGCGTGAAAGCGTAACAAACAAAACTTACATTCACATTTATAATATACGTTTACTGTGATTCAAATGAAATAGTCTCGTATGGCATCCGGAATTATCGAAATTTCCATATTTACTTAAAATCATTGTGGGACAGTTAGAAGTAACGCGATAAATATCGGAAATTTGGTAATTCAGTTTACAAATCGATTGTGAAGGTTATAATCTATTCGTCATGATATAATATTTGATACATGTTTATAAAGCTAATGTGTTTACTTCAATTTTAGTTAGCTCTTCAAAGAAATAACAACATTTTTTTATATTGAAAGTTGGCAAGCGAGCAGACGGTTCACCAGATGTTAAGTGAATACCCATCGATGTCTACGACACCTGAGGGATAGCCAATGCGTTGCCAGTAAAAACCGGCCAAGTGTGAGTCGGCCTCGCGCACGAAGGGTTCCGTATATCCTTAAAAAGGGTAAGGGGTACGAAAACCTAAAAGTTGGACTCCTCACTCATCAGACGAAACGCGAAAGCATAATATGTATGTACTTCCACTTCATAGGTTGTGGTACTGCGCCTGACCAGACTGCCCATTCGTGCAACAGCCGAAGACGCCGAGTCTCTCTATCACAGACAAAAATAAACATATGTTAAAATTATCATGTACTGTAAAATTCATTTTATTTACGTGTACTAACAACTAGCCGTGATAGCACAATGGGTGCTCGCTTGTAATTCAATATGCTCGAGCAATCTAAGTTCGGATATCGGTGTCAGCACCAATTAAGTTATCAATTTTATGTGCTGAATTATCACGTGAACAGTGGTGAAGGAAAACGTCGTGAGGAAATCGGTCGGAAAGTCTGCCAATCCGTAGTGGGGTCGTGCGGTGGACTACGCCTAGTATAGAGTATACACAGGGTATAGAGGAGGCCTTTATCCAGCAGCGGCACAAATGTAGTGTTGGTTGTTACAAAAGTTACAAAACAACAGCCTATTATTTCGTGTAGCTGCTACCACTGCGATACGTTGCCACCTTTTAAAAAAGTGGGGCCCCGGCTACCACACTTACCAGACGAGACGCTGAAGTATGACACTTTCCCTTCACGCCGGTATTCTGTGAGGTTGCGGTTTTTACTTGAATGAACCTGCCCATTGATGCAACAGTCGAATCTGTTGCGTGGCCCTACCACAGTTAAACCTTAAAGATGCATGCGTCTTCTTCAAAGAACGTAAATACGCATTTTTTACTCATGAACACGAAAAATATTTCGCAGTAGATGCAACTGCGGAGTTTTATGAGTTTTTTTACGATGCGAGCATCGTTCAAAATATCCTCATGCGTCAAACGCAGGCGTGAATCGAGCTTGCGTCGGTGGCAATGCGATAAACAAGCTGAACAAAATATTTTTTTATTTAACTTACAAATCAACGCGCACGCCGCCCTCGTTGAGATGCGACAAAATTTATTGGTGTTTACCCAAGACACGCTAATTCAACGATAATGTTGTCCACACAATCCCCCGTTCGATTGACACGAGTTATTGTTAAAGACAACATCCATCTTGTATATATATCGAGCGCGAGGAATATCGTTACGATTCCAGAGAAGCATTTGAGGTGAAGCACTTCGCTAAACAAGATGGCGGCTGTCAGGAAATTGTTGGTTCTCGTTCTGTTGATCTGCTGCGCGGTGGTGCTCGCCCAGCGTGGGGGTGGCAGCCCTAACAATAAGCCTCGACCCGGAGTGCAGAGTGCACCCCAGCGGCACTTCGAGAAGAGATCGCTGGACCACGAGGATGGTGACGCGGGTGACTTCTTCGATCAGCCGGCCTACGAGAACGCGTTCGACAGGCCCCACAGGATCCGAGTGCTCCCGGGCTTCCTCCATTAGACATGCATGTTAAAAAAGACAACGGGTTTGTGCAATAATAACCAAGTGTTATCGAAATATGGACGCGGTACACGCAGGGCTCAATCGAGAGGATTCTCTTCATCTAGTTTTAACCTAATCTCCATTTTACTGTTACGTTCGTTACTAATAAAATATATTATGGAAATAGCGTTGTTTTAATTGCTTCACAAGACAGCCAGCTTTTCGATCCGGATTTTATCGTGTAGAAAAATGTATATTTTACCTTAAATTTCCAATAAAGTATATGTAAATAATGAAACAATCTTCGAATATTGATAACTTAAAAAAAACAATAAAATATATAAAACATTTTATGGTGGGGGGGGATAATAAAAGGTATTTTTTTTAAATCTTTTATTAAAAAAACTACGTCTTATAATCGTTTACACGTACATATGTAATTAACAGATTATAATAATTATATTCATCAATAATATCGTGATAATATCCTAAGACGAATTACAGTAAGTTGAATATTAAAAGCCATTAATTTTAATTATAAAATATATAAAAGTTATTAATATACGTCGTCTTTCATACGTATACCACATCCTTATCTTAGAATTATTAGAATCAAATCAAGTAATATGTTTTATGTATTATTAAAAAACTGATTGGACATTACATCATGTGACAAAGCAAAAGATGTTTGCTAAAACTTTAATAATATAAGCACCTTTGATTCAGCACACAATTTATCTTAAAATTATATTAGAGATAATGTTCACATATTTGTTTTTTGATAAGTGACTTTAGTTTAGCCCTAAGGTACTTTAGCTTTGGCGTTTACTCAAAACTGCAGAAAATGTTTTGTTTGATTTAATTGTAAATTCAATATTTTGTTTAGTAATAATGAATAAAAATTAATTAATTTTATCTCTACTTATAAAAATATAATCTTTACATCGATGATAATATGTTTTAATGGCACGTATTTTTAAAAGATAACGCTAACTCATTCAAAACTTAACTACTTTGGCACATTGAGAATTCACCGACTCTTTTGAAGTTCTGTGTATTATTTTTTTAACATGTACTTAATAAATAATATCGTAACATTCATGTGTGTGTTACCGTACCAAGAAATGATAAAAAAATATTTGACACAGAATAGACCATGGCGGCCACAATAGTTAAAGGCCAAAATAAAAAATAAAAAATAAACCTTAAATAAACTACCCAAAATCACAAGCATTTTTTTCGAATTTCATTTATAATAATTATGCCACAAAGTGTAATACTCAATTTGATAACTACGTTTTTTGTACTTTATCGACATTTTTTACCACAGAATTTAATCAAATGAGAAAAGACACTGAATTGGTAACACACAATTGTAAAACTAACGATAAACTAAAATAATTCTTACAAATATCTTAGTATTTCTATTAATTTCTTTGAATATATATGAATATAAAGAATAATTCAAATATACAATACAATTATTAACGATATAATGATATTCATTAAATATTAATCGATGAACATAGAAATGTAATAATTCGCGATTTATTACAAAATGACATAAAAGTAAATTATTTAGCGACAACTGAAAGTTTAATATACGGCGACATATACATAAAACATGCACACAAACTATGTATTGGAGTACGATGTACTAATGCATACTTTAGTGCAACAAGTGCAGTAGAACAACACGAACAAAAGTAAAGGTTGTTGATTAAATTTCAGCTCGACAGTGCAAGAACTAGGCTCGTACGAGGAGAGAAGGAAAGATATTTAATTATACTTTTGCGTTTCGCCTGGTCAGTGCCTGGTAGTCGATGCCCATACTCTCGGTAGTCAGCAACACGCTTGCATCATCATCGGTTCTCACCACCCAGCAAACCACCTGTTCAATGGTTGGTGGGTTCAATTGCTGCTCTTTGAAATAAAAAAAAAAAATAGTACATTGTTACATCTTTATGTCATAATGTCAAATAACTTTTGATAGTTATTTGACATGGTCTAAATTTGGATTACGTCGCGAACTTTTTTTTTATGTGAAAAGTTGTCGAGTGAGCCGGTGGTATAACTGATTTTTATTGAAGACCATGTCCTATGGACATCTACATCACCTAAGGGTTTGCAGATGAGTTGACAAGGGTTGGACAATGCGTGGGCCCCAGTTACCACACTGACCGGACGAAACGCGAAAGTAAAATACGCCCACTTCACGCTGGTCTTCCGTGAGTCCGTACTACTGCTGCAGACGAGCCTGGCTACTTATGCAACCGAAGCTGAATGTACAGCTGATCAGCTGAACAACATAAATAGCAATAACAATTTGATTTATATTTTCTTATGTATTACAAATTCGCCTGTACGTCTTACCCTAAGATGCTATTAAGTGTGAAACAATAACTAACACGCGTATGCAAATACATAAGTAACTCTGATGCCATAAGGAGTATAATCTGTTAATCTTAAGCCTATGAAACATGAAAGTCGTCAAAATTCATGTGTAGTATCGAAATATACAAACATTTTGAATAATAAACTCTTATTGCTATCACAATGGGTGCATTTTATTACTTCTAACTTCTAACTATAAAAGACTATTTAATAAATTTTAACAGATTTTGTAAATTTATGAATACATTTATATAGAGAACAGTTTGTGTCTGAAAATTACTAAAAACTCCTTTAATAAAATAATATGAACTAACAAGCATTCGTGTGTACACGACACTCTTTGCTCAAACACTCTGTACAACACTCTGTGTTTGGGTAGGAATATTCTTTGGGGTCCGTAATAAAGAAATTGAAAGTACGGAAGAACTGACTATTTAATTCTATGGCTATAATTCGGTAAGTACACGTGGTTCCTCTTCTTCTTTATTAAGGGTTGAATGAATTAACTACTTTAATGTTATAAATCGTATTTTAACATAATATTTGGTCTTTATAGGATAAAAACTATTATTTTGACATTAAATTAATACACATTGGTTTTAAGCGATCTGTCGGCATTGTCTTTCTCATAGGTCCATTGCTCCTTCGCTTAGCGATAAAAATTTGGTGTAGCTTTGGTTCGTCTTCGTCATTGGGACTATCATCATTAAAATCGGAAAGCTCTACTAAGGAATAACTTTATTATTTAAGGAAGTTTGGAACAGTCCCAAAGGTAGAAATTAAAATATTATAATAAATTCATATGTGAGAGGGAACAAAATACTAAAATAAAATTTTAATGTAAGTAAATAATAATGTAGCCCTCGGAATATTTTAACATTTGCATATTGAAATATGGAGAGCACGTTTGTTTAAATTATTAATGCTCCTGCTGTAACCACATTCCTCCTCGTTAAATACATTTACTGATATAATATAGGTAACAATAATGTGTGAAATATTAATGTAATAGTTAATTTATAAAAAAAATATCAAATATTTGTGGTAGCTTTGTGGCTGCGAATCCCAACGGCGCGAAATAAGTTGATGTGAACACTAATCTTCGTCTAATATTAATATTCTCGGCGACAGTAGTAGCCCAAGGAGCGACACTTCTGGCAGAGGTGTTGGGGGTGAATCTTGGACTGGTCACTGACGTCCAATCCGTCTGGTTTCTCCAGTGGCCTCTGTGAAGGAAATCAAATTTAAATTGAATGAGAAACCATCTAAGCATTACAAATCCGCAGCTATTGATGTTAAAAAAATCGATCAAATGCAAGTCGAACTCGAAGGGTCGATTCCATACCATTACATACAAAATAGCAAAAAAATCATGTCCGTTGTATGGGAACCCCACAATTTTTTTTTATTCTGTTTTTTAGTATTTGTTGTTAAAGCGGAAACAAAAATAGATCATCTGTTAAAATTTTAAATGTCTAACTATCACGATTCATGAGCATACAGCCTGTCTTCTACAGCCTTCTACAAATCTTAATGTTTAGTGCATAGATTTGGCACTATAAAAATTTTTAACATTTCCAATCGTCTACCATATGGCGACTTAGCAGTCCAGGAGAGCTAGCTTTTCTGAGCTAGCGCGCTTACCATCAACGGTTGCATCGCCACTTACCATCAGGTGGGATGGCAGTCAAGTGCTGGCCAGTTTTGAATTAAAAGAAAAAAGACAAAACAGAGCCTCCTACCTGTTTGTGAGGGAACACGTTGATCCGGCACTTGATGCACTCCTGGCCGTTGTTCGCCCACGAGTTGCCGCTCATCCACTTGCGCTTGCACTTCGGACATTTGTACTCGCCGAAGCACCGCTTCTTGCCCTGGTACGGCGTCAACCCCTCGCCCTTGGGACGCGCCTGGGAAATTCGAAGGGCTTATTACGTCCGGAAACGGCACATCAGCTATAATGCCTTCGATTGGCGGTTATCTTCGAAGTCGTTCTTCCGAATAACATCCACAAACCTTCCACCATCTTATTACAGAATTCTCTATATATATGACCACGAAATAGCATCAGTTATTAAAAAATAGATCTTACGACTTCTCTTTAGAAATTACAATGATGGATGTCCTCTACATAAACTAAAACAAAATGGTATTTTTATTAATCCTGCTCATTTAAAATACAAGTATAAAATTACCTAATCCAGATCTTTTTCATTTATGTAAGTGTAAACAATTTTGAATCATTATTTTTCATAATCATTTAAGCTTACATAATCAGTGTCCAGCTTTCCCTGATTATCAACAATTGCATACTTGAACATTATTGTACTCCTAAGAAAAAAAATATGTGCATATTTAAGCTTCTGTTTTTAGTGGAAACTGAAACTAAACCTGGATTAAGTTTATTAATCGCTACTTATTTCACATCGTCTCATTTGTGCGTTTTCCTTACAACGATGTAAATAAAATCTGAGTCATCATAGCGGATAGCACATGATCTCGCATTGCAAAGTGAATAAAACCTGACAGTTTGATCCACAGTGGTCACGTTTCATTCGGAGGCGGGCATTGTTGTGAACGTGTAAATCAAATTATCATGATCTCGTCCTTTGCGTCAAATAAACACACTTTGTTTGCGTTCGCTGATTTGCTTGTAATGAAGCCGACTCAAAGCTTCAGTTGTCGATTGCAAGCAAAACTGCTAACTACTCAAAAATCTGAAGAGTAATTACTCCTCGTTTACTACGCTATAGGGTGGATATTTAAGACTTTGTAGAAATTATAACTACCCAGCAAAAACCAAGGGCTGAATATTCGTGGAAAATGAAATTGGCACAGAAAATATTTTATTATTTCTATCAGAGATCACTTCGCTTCCACTACACGCCGGTCTTCTGTGAGGTTGTGGCAGTTACACGGACGAACCTGCCCATTATTGAAGGCTGTTGCGTGGCTTGAAAACTGTACTGCTTAGACAGTGTGATTGCTGTCTAAGAGTCACATTAGGTGACGGCAAGCATTTACAAATGCAATAAAAATAAAGTAGAAAAAGTAGTACAATACTTCGATTATCGCGCGGTGAGTATTTCGACCGCTTGGTGACCAGAGAGTCAAGTAGGAACACTACGTGACCAAATGGGCGACTCGTATCGGTTACGCGGTCATAGGCTAACGTCGGCGATTATATTATTCGAGATGAAGCGATTCTCGGAACAATCGTGCTTGAGCTGCGTTAGCAATGTAACGAACGCCATTGCAACAATTGGGGCGTTGGTGAATGCTTGCCGTGGGTTTTTTATCGTCGTTTTGCTCGGTGCGTCGTCATCGGTTTGTTTATCGGATAGAAATTCTCGGAAAGCAACCGACACTCTCTGTTGTTCGAGATAAATATAATGTTACGGTTAATCCGGTGCAAGGAAATTGTTTCGCGGACCTTACAAAGCTCGTAGCCGATATGCGAATGTATCTCATAGATATTAAACATAATTCCGCCTTGTTAACGCGAAATAATTACAAAGATCGACAGAGGTTGAATAGTGTATGTATTAAACCATCACAAATATAAGATGAAAAGCGATTGTTGCATCAAAAACATAGAATTTATTCCACTCGTCATTTTATATTCTCCTTTTCTATTTCTTCACTTAGAGTAAACATTCGCGTTACGTTATGTCTCTGCACTTACGTCAGTTTCTCTTTCTCTACCCCATTCTCTACCCCACCCTAAGGTAGTCTTAATGATATTGGCATAAACCTCGCCTTTGTACTAGTCTGTGCAACTATAGTTAAATAAATTTATTCTTACTCAGTGCCGAGTACTCGAGCCGTGATAGCTCAGTGTTCGGGTATATTGAATTAAAGGGGAGCGCCCTTTAATTCAATATACTCGAGCAACCTGAGTTCGATCCCCGGTGCCGGCACCAATGAAGTTTTTAACTTTAAGTGCTGACTTATCACGTGCTCCGCGGTGAAGGAAAACATCGTGAGGAAACCTGCATAATTTCAAAATAATAACATAATAAAATATATATTTCGATAATATGTGAAGTTAGCCTATCCGCAGTGGGGCCGCGTAGGGATATTCGATATACATCGATGCATGGAAAACATCGATATTTACAATGCGATGCATCGAATCGATCCGATGTTTGGAAATGCTTTCGATATACTCGATGTATCGATGTTTTTTCAGTTTTTAGTACAAAAACATCGAATCGATTATAATAAATTACTTTCATAAAAACTCAAGTTTGACCACCAAAATTTTACCTATTTTTTATCCCTATTTGTTTATTTAAAAAATAAAAGTGTATTATTCAATAGTGGAGTGACATTATATTGTTGCGGCCAACGTGTACTAAAAAATTATGTTGGCGGCACTGCGCACGAGTCAGTGACAAAAATTGCTGTTGATTTAGCTTTTGGAAAAAAGCATATACCATGTTTCGCACATACTTTGAATTTGGTCGCACAAAATGCTATACAGCAGTGTACTAATCTGCGAAACTTGATAGCCAAACTAAAAGAAATAGTAACTTGGTTTAAACAAAGCAATGTAGCCAGTCTCGAATTACGTGAAGCAACCCAGAAAGAAACGAAATGGATACAAGAGGTCCCAACGAGATGGAACAGTACTTATTATATGATCGAGCGATTTTTGGAGCTTCGCAGCGTCGTCAATAATATAATCATTCGTCATATAAATGCACCATCGATGCTAACTGCGTCACAATTATCTATTCTCTCTTCGGTTTTACAAATTCTGCGACCGATTGAAGCTGCAACTAAGGAAGTGTCAGGTGATAAGTACTGCACTAGCAGCAAAGTAATACCACTTATCCATTGTCTTCTTTTGAAAGTTAAACCTCTTAAAGTCGAAAAGTCTCTTGCCCAAGAATTGCAGTCATTGATCCTGAAAGAGATTGATAAGAGGATGGGTTTGGGTAGTAACTCCTCTCGCCATAGCCACAATCTTGGACCCCAGGTTTAAGAAAATGCATTTCACGGACTCAATCGCTTGCTCCATGGCTGTTTAAAAAATCAAGGAAAAGATGAGAAATAGAGTACAAAATGAGTCCGTGGATTCGGATTCGTCAGATCAGTCTGACAAAGCAGAAGAAAAGTTTTCTCTGTCGGAAGATCACCACAAATTAGCCCAAAAGAGCTGGAAAACGGTGAAATCTGGCGATTCAATTTGAGATGAAATATCTATTTACTTACGTAGCCCAGTAGGTAGATTAAATGAGAACCCTTTAGAAATTTGGAATGATCTCAAGATTCAGCTCCCTAAACTTCATACAATTGCATACAAATACTTAACCATGGTAGGAACTTCAGTCCCATCTGAACGTTTGTTTTCGAAAGCGGCACAAATCGTCAATCAACAACGAAACAGACTGAAAGGCAAACGTTTAAATAAACTGTTGTTTTTGCAAAGTCTCTCAAAAGAATACTGGCAATAGGACATGTCAGTTGTTGTTTTTTTTTATTCTTACGTAAATTACTATAAAGATTTGGCTTTTACTTTTTTTTAATAAAACATTGTTTGAATTAGTGATAGTATGCATGAAAAATTGTGTTGCAGTAGTATATCTGGTCTGTGTCGTGTGAATTCTATTTCTTAGTATTTGTTGTTATAGCGGCAACAGAAATACATAATCTGTGAAAATTTCAACTGTTTAAATATCACGGTTCATGTGGATACAGCCTGGTGACAGACGGACAGCGAAATATTAGAAACAGGATTCCGCTTTTATCCTTTGGGTACGAAACCCTGAAAAAGTACTCGATGCGTATAAAATATCGATGTTTTCACCCGATACATCGAAAGACATCGATGTACAGTTCTGATTTATCGTATCGAAAAAAACATCGATGTTTTTTCAAAATGGACACCCCTAGGGCCGCGTGGTGGACTATGTCCTGATACCCTCTGTATAGAGGAGGCCTTTGCCCAGCAGTGGGACATGTATAGGCTGTTATTTTACTTTACTTTTATTCTTACTCAGTACTAAAATAGATTACCATGATTAATTTAAAATCAAATTTCATTTGATAGTACAAGATGAAGTACTAACCATGATAAAAAAAGTAAATAAGAGTATATATTATTAGATAATACGATATTTTCCACCACCCAAAAATTTTCTATAATATCAAAGCTTCGAAAGGGTAAATGTTTATAAAAATATGTTTGCGAATCGTACTTGTCAAATTTCCATTTCATTCCACAGAATCGGCAGTTTATCAATAAAACAAGAACAGAACCTAATTGTTTCGGTCAAATATTTCCGTCGACGAGAACAGAGCGTTTAATTTGACCTACCAATGTGTTGTAGAGTTCATAAACTAAGTTCGAATATGGATCCAAGTATGACGAAGCAAAAACTATATATCTAAACTAGCTAATGCAGCAAACGTTGTTTTGCCATATAAATAATTTGTAGGATAGAAAAAAATTGTTACAAATTGGTCAAGCCGTTTCGGAGGAGTATAAACACTAAAAGTGTGACACAAGAATTTTATGTAGTAGACTAGCTGATACGACAAACGTTGTTTTACCATATAAATTATTTTTAGGGTAGAAAAAAAATATGATAAATCTATTCTCATACATACTAAATATACATATAAAATTTCATCACAATCGGTCAAGCCTTTTCGGAGGAGTATAAACACTAAAACTGTTTTTTTCTGTTTTACTCCACATTAATTTCTAATATCAACGGCCCTTCGACCCCCTAGCTGATTCTGGCTTTCAATGCATAAATTTATTAAAGCGTAGAACATCTAGTGTTTTCTTTTTGTTTCGTATCATATTTCCTCACTCATGTGAACATATCATCATCCTACCCACTATTAGTACTGTTAATTCACGGATTGTGGCAGCAATGTAAATTAATGAATGCGGTTGGCAATATGCCTCGCGGAAATAGCACCGTCTACGTAGCGATGGTGAAACAATGTAAAAAGCGTAAATGTATCTTTTTTCAATGCGAGAAGGTGGTAAGCGAGCTGGCGGTTCACCTGATGTTAAGTGATAAGCGTCGCCCATTGACATTTGCAACCCCGTAGGACTGCAGATGCATTGCCACCTTCTAATAAAGAGGGCTCCGGTTACTTAACGCCGAAGACAATAAGACATGATGAGACAGAAACATAAGTGGAGTAGAGTAGAGAATAGGAGTGCGGGATTTCTAGGTGTTTTGAAATTAGATCCGCCCACATTTAGGAGTACGGCCTCTAGGTCTTTATATTTTTCCCGTCGTTATCAAACGTTCAAGGTTATCTGCTCCTCTGCGTGTGATATGGCCAAAGTATCGCACTATGCGTTTGTGTGCAGACTTTGAGCCTTTTCTATTCTAAGTTGCTTTAAGATGGAGATGTTTGTGCGACCGGCCTTCCGTGGTATTCTTAACGTACGGCGCCAACACCACATTTTCATACCACTATTATACTTATTAAAATGATGAATAAACAACCCATTCTTGGAGTAATAACTCGAAACCAAAGGAATGCGATCAACAGCCGACCTTACCTGCGGGCAGTCGCCGATGTAATGGCCCTTCTTGAAGCAGAGGTGGCACATGTAGGCCGGGGGCGGAGGCCTAGGCGGCCGCCGGAGCGACAGGGCTGCAAGCTGCTCGGCTAGGGACGCCGCGTCGTCGGCCGGCGGTGCGGCGGTCCCCGGCGCGGCGGTAGGCAGGGGACCCCATACCGAGCCAGGAACCCACTGGAATGGCAACGTGAACACCATAACTATACATCAAACACAAAAGCGACGGGTGGAAATGAGCTTGCATTACTGGCGACATAAACACACAAGCTGGGCGTTGAACAAAGCCCGTTTTACAGGAAACAACAGAGCAGGATTGTAAGTTTTATGCTTTTCGTTCGTTCGATATTTTTGTTTTAATTTGAAAATTTGGCAAGAGTTACTGTTATTTTTCTTTGCTTGATATTTAAAAAAAAAACATTGCCCTTACTGTGCGATAAGATTACCTATGCTGTGTTTTAGGACGTTTTACAAAGATAAATTTCACGTGGACAAACACCCAAATCCGCAAAAATTATCTGTGGGTCACGCATATAGTTGTCCCGTATGGGAATCGAACCTATGACCTCCGGCTCTATCAATTCCTTGGCAATTGCGCCACGGAGTCATCGAAGTGGAGCGCCCATGGACATTTGCGAAACCAGAGCTTTGGCAACCTTGAAAAAAGTGTTCCCATGTTACCACCCTCACTAGATGACACACAAAGGATAATGCCTGCCCACAGTTCCACAGTTTAAACCCTTGAATTTATGAGAAAACGTATTTAAAAAGAAACAAACAAAAATCTTTACAGTTTATGAAAAATTCGGAAATATAGATAACCTAAATGAACATAACCAATGTTGTCCTTTTAACTTTTGTCGTCGGTTTTAATGAAATAAATAAAGAGGAACATAAATGCTTCGTTATTGGATGCATAAATACGTTGAGCCGCGAAAATAACGGGTCTGCAACATGCATTACGTTCTTTATATTTTTAATGGGCGATAAATGGCGTAAATGAATAAAAAATATCATATACCTTTAATTATAATAAGTACATATTACAGTTATGTAAGTCTAGGGTCACATTCAACATAATATTTAGGTAACAATCCTGAAATTCATAGACTATGAAATAACCGAGCATTGCTCTAAGGAAAAGAATATAAAATGGATTGAGGGACAAATTTAACTTTGCCGTTGGTACATGATTGGCCCTATGTATCGACATAGCTCGCGGTCAGTTTACCAATTGGAAATAAGTTTATAATCTCAAAAACAATTACTTTCTGTGAACTTATTACATTTTCGCAATTTTTGATATTTCTCTTATATCGTACTGTAAGATCTTGCTTCTTGCCAAATTTCGTATACGTATCTCATCGTATCTCATCTTCAGGTGTTAGCGACATGATGCTGCATTGATTCATATCGGCAATTCAAGAAATTGTTCGTAATTACAGCTTGATTTAAAAAAAGCAAAAAAAAAAGTATTCTAATTTAACATTTTGTTATTTTTCAAAATTCGCCTTATATTTTCTATTAACATAAAAACTTGTACGAGTGATTCTCCAATTTTTTTTCAATTCCAATTATAAGGAGCATTACAGCTCTAATTATAACATTATTATTAAATAGCTTTGCGAGATATCTCGTTAATTCTGCGGTCCATTATATTTGACGAATTATTCTCTGTGCGCAGCCTAGAATCAACATTATTTAAATTTAGACCAAGACGTTCGAAGTTAGGCGTAAGACGAGGCTATGAGATCTCGTCAATTGGTTTAATTGATTGCAAGTGTCCTATTCCAATTGGGACCATTAACAATACAACATCTAACTAGTCTATTGAGAGGCACCATTCACGAAAAATTCATTGAAGTTACGGTAATAGTTGTACCTTCAATGATTTTTATATGTCGCACATAATATACAGGGTGGCTTTTCTAAAGGTGCCCAAATTCTCACAGGCGGTTCAAACTCGGTAGTATAATCGTTTACTGAAATAAAAACAAACCTTTTTTTTTTTTCAAAAAATTTCCATTCTATATGTACAATGTGCAAATATCGTTGAAAATTTTTTTAATTTCACTTATCTTCTAAATATTTTTTATTATTATTTCGTTAATATGCAGACATCCCAATAATGTGTTCTGCGCCGATGATCACGTGCACCTCAGCACTTAAAATTATCAATTTAATCGGTGCGGGCTTCGCGATTGTAATAGGTCTCTTCGAAATTTTTAAACGATGTTCACATTGGGAGGTTATTCTGAGGTTGAAATCACGAACACAACGGACACAGTGGCCTAGCAACAACTATTTGTGGATCACGCGAGTTTGTTTCGTGGGGTTCGATCCCCTCGCCCCAGAGCGCAATCGCGTTTGGCAATATGGAACACTTAACTATGGAACATTAACAAAAATGCAGTCAGAACTACACGAAAACTCTAATTTAGTATGACCTAAGTTGGTAAAATGTAAATTATAAGCCAAACAGTTAGATTTTACCTATCCTAATGTAATTCTTAGCTTTTTGACGAGCCTATGACCGACGAAGGTTCATATCACAGAAAGAAAACATTTGCTGTAACCCACTAAATCGGGACTTTTTACTAGAGCCCAAAAATTTTATTATAAAAAAATATTTAAATTCAGTGAGCAACATTTTCCCTTTATTTTTTTTAATTCCGTGATAGCTCAGTGCCGGGCGCTCGCCTTTAATTTAATATACTCGAGCAACCTGAGTTCGATCCCCAGTGCCGGCACCAATGAAGTTTTTAACTTTAAGTGCTGACTTATCACGTGCTCCGCAGTGAAGGAAAACATCGTGAGGAAACCTGCATATTTTCGAAATAATAACAAAAAAAATATATATTTCGAAGATATGTGAAGTCCGCCAATCCGCAGTGGGGCCGTGTGGTGGACTATGCCCTGATACCCTCTGTATAGAGGAGGCCTTTGCCCAGCAGTGGGACATGTATAGGCTGTTACTTTACTTTTTACTTTTTTTTTTAATTCACATAATCAGATTTTTAAAAACCCTTAACTATTTTAATAGTAAAAAGCTTCTAAAAGTACCAGAGATAACAGCTACATTAGTATAAAACTGTGACGTTGCTATTAACACTTTTCTTTATACGAGAAATAATAGTTCCCATATACAGCGTGTCGTTACAATCGCGCCAATCAATGAACACACGTCTAACGCTACGTGCCAATAATCATTAAAAAAAATTAACGTTAAAAAAATCCATAATTAAAAAAATATATTTTTCAAACAAACTAATTAAGTAAAAAAGAAACAGAATTTGTAACATCTATACGACTACAACTGACTGATTCATACATTCAGAGACTTTTTCATTCGTTGGCACAGCATCGCATTACAAGCCTCTCCTTCTAACAGTATGTTTTGTCTCTTTTAAATTCATTTAACCCATTCATATGCTTTGTGACCTTTACAAATGAACTTTACGTTAGAGTTTTATACGTAAGAATGTTTTAAAATTCTTTGTTTTGGAAAATGTTATAACTCAGTAAATATTGATGTGTTCATTTATTGTCGCGATTGTAACGACACGCTGTATAGTTGTTTAGCAATGCGTTAAAACAAAACAATAAAATAACTTGGTGCAATTCTTTGACAACAGATTACTGAGGTTGACATTGATAATAATAATGTAAACAGTACGTTTTATTTAAATTTACGAACATACATGCATATTGTACATAAATGAAAGATTTCTGCACTGCTTCTCCATATAAATAATAACTATGTCAAAGTTCATAGTCCTCCGTGTGCGAAATATTCTTCTTTTTCGCTTCACGTGTATATAGATGAATTTAAAAACATTTATTCAACGATAATGTGTTATTGCGTCTTTTGCTATTATTCATTACAAGAACCTTTTAACACATATCATCATTTTGAATTTAAAAATTTGTTCCGTCATTTCACTTGTAAAGTTGTATGGAATAACATAATAGTTACGTTAGCGGTTTTCACAATTTTGATTTATATTTTTTTTGTATTCTCACTCTTATGCCAGGTGTAGTATGCTCACTTTATTACTGAGTGATATTGTACAGTTACTTATAAGTAGTTTTGAGTACATTTCGTTGATTAATAAGCAGGCAGGCTTGGTGATTGGTCACGCGCGGAATGGCGGATATGCATTGTTGCTGAAGCTCAGTACATTAGAATTAAATGTGACGGCGGTGACGTCCGATTAGAATGAAGACCACGGAGTCCCAATAGGAAACATCTGGTTTCGAGAACGAGCCAGAGACTTCCGTTCCGTCGGACAAATGAAATCGCGGTAAATGACGATCCTCTGGCGATCCGCGCGTCGGTGTGTGAGCGCGCATCTGTTTAATAAGTCAGCACTCGCAGGGCTGTCGACTGAGCGAATTGATGACGTATCGTCAAAAATGTTTACTGCAAAAAACAATTTTCTTCTTATATATCAGTTTGTGAGAGACGTGGTAGCTAATTTTCCAGATGCTCGCTTTTAATATTGTTAATTTCAAGTGCTGACTTATCAAGAGGTCAGCGGTGAAGGAAAACATTGCGAGGAAACCTGCATATTTTCGAAATAATAAGCAAAAAAATATATTTCAAAGTATATGTGGACTATGATCTGACACCTTCTTTACAGAGGAGGCCTTTTGCGATAGGACATGTATAGGCTGTTACTTTACTTTACTGATAGTTATTCTATAAAAGTATCACAGGAGATTTTTTGAATTTTCGCTATAATTAATATTATTTTAAATATACTTTGATAAAATAAAATTTTAAATATACTTTGAAAAATAAATAAAGATAATTAAAACTAATTTTATATATTATTTAAATTGAACGTAACTGATATTTGTTGTTTAATATTATTCAATAACATGATTAACTTAAAACGATACGTGGCAACCCTAAATCCGCTCCAATTCGGAAACGCGTGCGTTGACGTTCTGGCTCGTGAGTCACACGCTCGGTCTCCATACACCAAACACAGAGCTTTATAAAAGTCTAGCAGTGTTTTAATGGCTGATTTCAATATGTTATCTACCTTTAGGTTTGGTTACTGGAGGAAGAATTTTGACGTAATTATTCTGGAGCTAATTTCAAATAAAACCGGCCATAAGTAAGTTAAGAATACTATTTGGCCATCACAATTTTCTTGGCAAATTTCTCA